TCTGCAAACCGCGCGCCGCCCTGCCCTGCAGCCCGCTCGCTGCCCTGCCCTGCAGCTCGTGCGCCGCCCTTCCTTGCAGCCTGCGCGCTGCCCTGCCCTGCAGCCCGCGCGCTACCCTGCCCTGCAGCCCGCGCGCCGCCCTGCCCTGCAGTCCGCGCACGGCCCTGCCCTGCAGTCCGCGCGCCGTCCTGCCCTGCAGCCCGCGCGCTACCCTGCCCTGCAGCCCGCGAGCCGCCCTGCCCTGCAGCCCGCGCGGCGCCCTGCCCTGCAGCCTTCAGGAGAGATCTGGCTGCGCCGCCCACCTGGCTTCACTGGGTCGTTTCCTGAGGGTACCCAGTAGAGCCTCCGGCGGCCAGTCTACGGTCTCCGCCAGGCGCCGCGCGAGTGGCACGACACACTGAGGACGACACTTGCAGCTCTTGGGTTTGCTCCTTCCACTGCAGTCCCGTCGCTGTTTTCTGCGCACCGACTTTTCTCTGCCGCCGTTCTACATCCTCGTGTATGTCGACGACTTGGTCTTTGCTACTGCTGACACTGAGGCGCTGACCCTTGTGAAGACGGAGCTGTATAAAAGACATACTTGCACTGACCTGGGTGAGCTGCGTAGCTATCTTGGCTTGCAGATCACTCGGGACTGCGGCGCACCATCACTCTGACTCAGTCACACATGGTGCACCAGGTCCTTCAGCGCTTCGGCTTCCGGTTCTCCTCGCCACAGTCCACTCCTCTGCCTACAGGTCACTCCCTCTCAGCTCCACCTTCGGACGAGTTCGTAGAGCCGACTGGCCTGTATCCAGTGCTTATGGGCTGCCTCATGTATCCGATGACATACACACGACCTGACCTCGCGTACCCTCTCAGCATCCTTGCTCGCTTCGTCGCCCCCGGGAGACACAGAAAGGAACACTGGACAGCCGCACAGAGGGTACTGCATTACTTGTGCAGTACATCGGGCATGGGGCTCGTGCTTGGAGGACGGGGTCCAGTGGTACTTACAGGATACTCCGACGCTTCTTGGGCCGACGACCGGACGGCTCAGCGCTCGTCACAAGGTTATTATTTGAGTCTCGGCTCCGGTTCTGTCTCGTGGAGGTTCATTCGTTCGTCATCTGTGCTTAGTTCCAGCTGTGAGGCCGAGATCTACGCTGGTGCTATGGCTGCACATGAGTTACGCTGACTGACCTGTCAGAATGTTATTCTCTAGCCTGTAGTGGGGTGCTCTGTAGCGAGTACAACCCATCTAGGGTTTGCTATATGTATCCTCATTGCTGCTAGTGAAAACCCTCTTCTTTTGCCTAAACTGTCTCTTGCCTAGCTAGGACTCTCCTAGCTATGGCTCCTAACACTACATACTATTTTGACATGGTATCAGAGCTTAACGTTCCTGGCCTGTGGGCCCACTTCACTGCTTCCGCTGCTACTGCTACTCCCTGTCCGCCGCGCGCCCCGTGGTGCGCGGCGTCGAAATTAGGGTTTTCAGCCCGCCGTGCGCCCCGAGGCGTGCGGCGGTTTTCTGCCCGCCGTGCGCCCCGAGGCGTGCGGCGGTTCTCTGCCCGCCGTGTGCCCCGAGGCGCGCGGCGGGTTTCTGCCCCGTCACTCGGCGCGTCGCCCCCGGGAGGCGCTGCGACGGGCGACGGGGACCCGCGCGTCGCCCCCCGTCGCCCGTCGTGGCCTGCGCGCGGCCCGTACAGCCGGCGCGCGGCCCGTACGGGCTGCGCCAGGCCTGCGCGCGGCCCGTACGGGCTGCGCCAGGCCCGCGCGCTGCTCGTACGGGCTGCGCCAGGCCCGCGCGCTGCTCGTACGGGCTGCGCCAGGCCCGCGCGCGGCTCGGACCGCCTGCGCGCGGTTCGGGAGGCTGTGCCAGGCCCGTGGGCGGCCCGTTCTTCGCTGCCCCTGTCCTCCCCGCTGTCCCCCGTGCTTCTGAAGGCGCCCCACCCCTCCTTCTGCCCGTTCTCCTGGATTAGGGTTTGGGGGTGGGGGGTATGGGGGTGCAGCTTCTGAGTGCCGTTCCCTGCTCCTCCTCCTCCTCCGTCTCCCTGTGCTGCAGCTGCCGCTGAGGGGGGGTGGACCTGTTGGAGCCGACGGAGTGGTACTAAGGGGGGGGTGAAAGGGGAGTGGAGCTAGCGGTGTAGCAGCGGGTGTGTGTTAGGGGGAGTGGGATAGTTTGGGGAGGTTGAAGGGGGTGGCCGCCGTCAAGCCAGCAGCTCCAGTCGCCCGTGAGACCGTTGCGCCAGTCGCCCGTGAGCCCGTTGCGCCAGTCGCCCGTGAGCCCGTTGCTCCAGTCGCCCGTGAGTCCGTTGCTCGTCTGCCGCTACTTTTAGCCGCGGAGCCAGTTACTCCAGTAGCCCGTGTGCCAGTTGCTCCAGTTGCCAGTGTGCCAGTTGCTCCAGTTGCCCGTGTGCCAGTTGCTCCAGTTGCGCCGTGTGCCAGCAGCTTCAGCTGCCGCCCACTACCTCCTCTCCTCTCATAGTCTCTTTCCTCCTCCTCACTTGCCCGTTGTGACTACCACTAGCTTTGCTCATAATTGTGAACTTTAAACTATTGCTTCTTGAACTTGTGCTCAGAATGTGTGGTGACATTGTGATCCACCCTGAGCTTGTACTGCTTTGTTTGCTCTGCTGATTACACCCCACTTTGGCTATGGGGGTGTGTCAGAATGTTATTCTCTAGCCTGTAGTGGGGTGCTCTGTAGCGAGTACAACCCATCTAGGGTTTGCTATATGTATCCTCATTGCTGCTAGTGAAAACCCTCTTCTTTTGCCTAAACTGTCTCTTGCCTAGCTAGGACTCTCCTAGCTATGGCTCCTAACACTACATACTATTTTGACATGACCTACCTGCTGGCCGACTTGGGTAAGCGGCCTCGTTCTCCTCCAGTTCTGTACGTCGACAACAAAACCATGATTGCCTTGTGTCAGGAGCAGAGACTGGAGCACAGAACGAAGCACATTGCTCTTCGTTACTTTCTTGCTCGGAAGTTGCAGCAGCGTGGTCAGCTGCGCCTTGCTTACGTGGCCTCTGAGGCCAACACTGCTGATGTCTTCACCAAGGCACTTGTGTCTGGTGATCATCAGCGTTTCTGCACTACTCTAGGCCTTGTGCCTATTCTACCTCACCTGCTGGTTGCTTGACTTGTCTCTGTGATATACATATATACCTGCATGTTTGCTTTTACTAGGTTGTGATCACTGTATTGTTTGTGCTTTTATATCTCTGCATATGAACCGGCCTTATGGCCGCTTGCTTATGTACAGACTGTGTGGTGATCTTGAGATCCACCCTGAGCTTTGCTTTGCTTTGTTCTCTTGCTTGACTGGTCTTGTGACCGTTGGTTGTTTTTGCTCTCCCCCACTTTGCCTATGGGAGTGTGTCAAACTGTGTTTTATATCTATAGGCTGTAGAGGCTGTAGTGGGGCAGCCTCTACTGAGTACAACACTTTAGGGTTGCATCCTAGTACTTGTACTCATCCTTGCATCCTAGTCGATCATTTCTACACGTTATTCCTGAGTCCTGACAAAAAACACAGCGTTTCATTCGCTGCATGAGTGCCTGCTGCTGTGACTCAAACCAAAGCGCCTACTGCTATCGCCCTAACTGCCTCCTGATTCGCTGTATCTGCGTCTCCTGCTGTACTGCAAACCTCTGCGCCTGCTCCACCTGCTGCTCCAGGCGCTGCCGCTGCCACTGCTGCTGCTGGGTTGGATACATGAACTGCTCCTCCTCCCTCTCTAGCTGCCGCAGCTGCCCCTGCAACTGCACCACGTGCTGCCGCTGCTGTGCCTGCTCCAGCTGCAATTGCTTCAGCTGCTGCTCCAGTGACGCTCGGACAGACCTCTGAGTCGACCCAAAAGTCTGCTCCCGCGATGCTTGAACACCAGAAGGACCAGAAGCGCCTCTTTGATTCTGCTGCTCCAACAACAACCGAGCAGACCTCTGAGTCGACCCAAAAGACTGCTCTAGTGATGCTCGGACACCAGAAGGAACTCGCTGATTCTGCTGCTCCTGTTGCCGAGGAAATTGCTGCTGCTGCTGCCGCCGCCGCCGCAAGAGTTGCTGTTGTTGTTGCTGCCGCTGCTGCGGCTGCAGCAAAAACTGGCCTACCTGGGTGGCTAATTGATCACCGACTGCATTAGAAGCACCAATACCAGCAGCACCCGTGTCTCTTCCTCCTCCAGCATTTGATGTTCCACCAGCCGTTAGCAACCCACCAGTGTTAACAACTCCACCAGCACTTAGCGCACTCAGAAACTGGCCTAGACCGGCACCTCCCAACCCAGCAGCACCAGTTGAAACCGCTCCAAAAGCAGAACCAACAACATCAGGAGCAGAAGCACTGATCCCACCACTTGCGACTGCAGTGGCAGCCGCAATGGCAGCAGCGAGAGCAGCAGCAGCCTTTTCAGGTGTGACTGAGGTTGGAAGAGGTAAGCCTGCCCCAGATACAGCTTGCGCTGCTGCCTGCGCCACCAGAGCCTCGACCGCTGCAGAGGGTGCTGCCAATCCTGGGTTGCTGCCTTGCGCATGGATGGACTTCCTCCTCTTTTTTCTATCATCATCCGCGTCTTCCTCACCATCACTGCTATCACTATCGCCACTCGCACTAGAGCTATCACTATCACTATCATCGCTACCACTTTCACTATTGTCACTGTCAGTATCACTACCATCATCACTATCATACACATCCTCATCCTCATCACTTGAATTGCTGATTCTCCCTTTCCTTCGTCTTCTCCTACCTGATCTCCCCCTCTCCCGCACTCTTCGCCGCTCCTTCCCTCCGCTCCTCCAATCCCTCTTTCTCCCCTTCCTGCCTTTCCTGCTCCCTCGACTCCCCCCTCCTTCTCTCACCTCCACCACATCCTCACTCTTACTCTCGCTCTCACTCTCGCCCTTCCTGCCCTTCCTCCTTCCTCCTTTCCCTCCTCTCCTTACCTCCACTACATCTTCTGAATCATCCTCACTCCCACTCCCACTCTCACCCTCACTCTCACCATTGCTACCATTCCTCTTCCCTCTTCTTTTCCCTCGTCTCCTCCCCCTTCTCCTTCCTCTTCTTAACTCCTTACCATCCTCCTCACTCTCACTCTCGCCCTTCTTTCCTTTCCACTTCTTGCCTCTCACTCTCCTTCTCACCTCCACTTTATCTCTAGATCCTTCCTCACTCTCACTCTCACTCCTACTCTCACTACTGCCACTCAATTCCTCTTCCTTCACCAATACCTCAATCATCTCCGTCTTTCGCCCCTTACCACCCCGCTCACCCCCATTCCTATTCCCACTCTTAACCCCCCTAGTTCCATCTCTATCCCTTTCCCTGCTATCATTTTCCCCTCGCCTGCCATCCTTCTCCCCTTCCCCACCACTCCTCTCCCCTTCCCCACCACTCCTCTCCCCTTCCCCACCACTCCTCTCCCCTTCCCCACCACTCCTCTCCCCTTCCCCACCACTCCTCTCCCCTTCCCCACCACTCCTCTCCCCTTCCCCACCACTCCTCGCCCCTTCCCCACCACTCCTCTCCCCTTCCCCACCACCTCTCTCCTCTTCATCTCCACCATTTTCCCAACCATTGTGAGCCATCAGGACTGGGTCAATGTTGCCCCCCTCCCCATCACCGTCTCCCCCCTCCCCGTCACCGCCGCCCCTCTCCATGTCACTGCCACCCCTCTCCACGTCACTGCCACCCCTCTCCACGTCACTGCCACCCCTCTCCACGTCACTGCCGCCCATCTCGCCCCCCTCCCCTCCCGCCTGTCTCTCTGTGTCTCCCCCCTCGCCATCCGTCTCCCCCTCTACATCCCCACCAACCTGCACCGTGTTTCTAGTCGTCTCAACTCCACCCTCAGCATTCTTCTTTTGAGTCGACTCAAAAGTCTCCCCCCCTACATCTCCACCAACCTGCACCGTGTTTCTAGTCGTCTCAACTCCACCCTCAGCATTCTTCTGAGTCTCCCCGACAGCGGCCCCACCAACCAGCATGGACCACGCAGTGTGAAAGGAAGCGTTTCGCTTCTTAGACCGCTTTTCAGCCTGCTTTTGAGGCGCCTCAAAAGCCTGCGTACCAGCAGAATCAACACCCGTCTTCGCTCCACCCTTTCCCTTCTTTTGAAGCGCTACCTTCTTCCCTTTTTTCGACTGAGATGTTTCAAAACTTCGACCGCCCTCTGACCTCCTCACCTTCTCTCTCACCCTCTCCTCTCGTGTCCTCTCCTCTCTCACTCTCTCCTTCCCCAGCACTCTCTCCTTTCTAATTCTATCCTCCTCTTCAATCCTTCTCTTCTTTCCCTGTCTTTCCTCATTACCCACTCCTCTAACCCCATATTCCAGTCCTGCATCTTCCCCATATTCCAGTCCTGCATCTTCCCCTCTTCCACCTCCTCTTCGTCCTCCCGCTCCTCCCCATCCCATTGCTCCTCCCCCTCCTTCAGCTCCTTCCACCCACTCACTGCCACCAAAGGCTCTCTCTCCCCGCTCGTACATGTACGCAGACGCGTTCCGAGAGGAGTAAGGAAAAGCAGCACTACCGCCAGGCACCCCTCCCAACCACTCTCCGCCACCACCACCTCCTCTCTGATCCTGTCTCACCACACACTTGGGCAAGCGCTTGCCACGCGTGGTGGGGCCAGCAGGGCCAGCATTGGGAGTGAGAGCAGCTGCTTGGGGACCAGGGAAAGTGTGTCCAGGCGTGTGTGGAGAACGGTTGAGACCGGTACCAAGGGATGGTGCGGCAGTGAAACCACCTGCCCAAGAACCAACCCCGCCTAGTGGTCTCTGCAGCCTCTGCTGCCACTGCTCCGAGCCCATGACAGCAGCACGCGAGTCAACAGTTAAATTCTGAGCCGACTCAAAAGTCGACCTGTGCTGCCCCTGCAGCCTCTGCTGCCACTCCTCCGTACCCATGACAGGAGCACGAGTGCCAGGGAAGTTAGGAGCACGGGGGTTGAGAGGGCCAGAAGCACGGGAGCCAGGGAAACCGGGGGGAACACGAAGCCTAAGATTACCAGCGGCTTGAGAACCAGAGAAGCTAGCAGCATGAGAAGCAGAGAAGCCAGCAGAGAAGCTAGCAGCATGAGAAGCAGAGAAGCCAGCAGAGAAGCTAGCAGCACGAGGTGCATGCAGGCCACCTGCCCATGAACCATCCCTGCCCGAAAACCCTTTTTGAGGCGCCTCAAAAGCACGAGGCAGATTAAGGGCACCTGCCCATGAACCATCCCTGCCCGAAAACCCCTGCCTCTGCTGTGCTGCGGCGTTACCAGCAGTCATGGGAGAGGTACGGTTGAACTCACCAGGCCACGACCCATCCCTGCCCCACGCCCCTCGTTGGCGCTGCATATACATTTGCTGAGAAGGAGGTGTAGTTCGAGGTGGCAAGGGCAAGGAAGGGAAGCTACGAGAGTCAATAGCTTCAAGAGCATCAAGCGCTTCAGCAGAGTCAACAGAGTTGAGGGAGTCAGAAGAATCAGGGCGGTTGTCTGGGAGTTCTTCTGCCCAAGAATCATCTTCGCTGCCCCATGCGATCTGCTGTCCCTGAAACTTCTGCTGCCCGTGAAACTTTTGCTGCCCGTGAAACTTTTGCTGCCCCTGAAACCTCTGCTGCTTCTGAAGCTCCTCCTGCTCCTGAAACGCCCGGAGTTTGGCTTTACTGGCCCAGGGTGTTGGCAGCAGCGGGGCAGCATTGCCTGCAGCAGCACCACCACTACCAGCTGCAGCACCACCAGCAGCAGTGTGCGCGGGCTTCGCCGGCGCTCGTGCAGCGTGTTCGGGGTAAGCATCACCACGACTAGCACCAGCAGCACCAGCACCACCAGCAGCACCAGCACCAGCACCAGCACCAGCACCAGCACCAGTACCAGCAGCAGCAGCAGCAGCAGCAGCATCAGCACGAGCAGCAGAAGCGGCAACAGCAGCAACAGAAGCCTCCCTGACAGAGCGCAGGTACGCATACTTGCGGAGCCAGTTGGGCCCGTAGATTGACTTTTGAGGCGCCTCAAAAGCAGCAACAGAAGCGTCCCTGAAAGAGCGAAGGTACGCATACTTACGGAGCCAGTTCGGCCCGTAGATTGACTGCATCAGCGATTTCACGTGCGTATCGTCTGCCCACTTCTCCAAATCATACGGGTCTGACTGCCGGTCGTGTGGAAAGCGGTTCAGCAAAGGTGGTAACCGCTTGTGTAAATTGTATGGGTCATACGGTCGCTCAGACTGTCGCTCAGACTGTCGCTCAGACTTTTTGTTTCCCCCCTCCCCTTCCTCTCCCTCCTCCCTTCCCCCCTCCCCTTCCCGGCCTCCTTCCCCCGTCCCTGCACCATCACCCTCACTCCCCGCTCCCTCTGCCTTCTTCCCTCCCTTATACCGCTCTAGAAGCCCCAGAACCCATTCCTCTGTGTACTCAAAGTCAGAGGGGGCATCTAATTTCCACCCTATCATCTCTGCCCTATCCAATAGCATCTCTGCACCGTTAAACGCCCTTTGAATTTCAATTTATCCTCCACCTCCACTCTGTTTACTGCTCCTCCTCCTCCTCCTCCTCCTCCTCCTCCTCCTCCTCCTCCTCCTCCTCCTCCTCCTCCTCCTCCTCCTCCTCCTCCTCCTCCTCCTCCTCCTCCTCCTCCTCCTCCTCCCCTCTCCCCCACTTCCCCCCTCCCTTCGACCTCTTCACCACCCCCCTCTTCCCCTTCCATCACAAAAACTCCCTCCTTTATCCTCCCCTTCCGCACCAACTCCCCCGCCCCTATGGCCTCAATCCACCTCAATAGCGCCGCTTCCAGCCTCTCACACTGCACCCACCCATCCACACCGCCCTCCACCTTGAAATACTTCTTCTTCTTCCAATCCCACCGCTTCCCTCTAACCCTGAACTCCTCCTCCTTCCCTTTCGGAATATTCATCCACCAGTCGCTATGGTTCCTGATCTTCCGAACCATGGACTCAAACACGGGCGTTCCCCAAGCCTGGAGCAGAGCCTTGGCAAGAAACAAGCTGGAGAGGTTCGGGACGGAGTGTATGACGAGGCAAAGCGCCCGCTTTTGGTGCGTGGTCATTTGGAAGGAACGGCGGAGCTGCACGGGCAAAGGGGGGCCGTGTATCCGCTTGCGCACACCGGGAGTTGGGGTGGTTTCACTGGGTTGAGAGGGGTGAGAGGGGTGAGAGGTGGGTGAGGAGCGGTTGACGGGGGTTATAATGGGCGGGGCGTTTGCAGCGGGGAGGGCAAGGACGATAGATAGGCCAGGGGGATGCGAGGTGGGTGAGGTGGAGGTGGAGTAAGGCGGTTCTTCCTCCCCCTCTGACAAAGTTTCATGTGCTAGTATGGCTTCAGGTGCTACAGGTACGGCTTCAGGTGTTGGTGCAGTTTCAGAAGTCGGTGCGGTTTCAGGTAAAGGTAAAAGTACAGTTTTAGGCGCTGATACAGTTTCAGGTGCTGGTACAGATTCAGGTGCTGGTACAGTTTCAGCAGTGGGTACAGTTTCAGCAGTCGGTACAGTTTCAGCAGTCGGTACAGTTTCAGCAGTCGGTACAGTTTCAGCAGTCATTACAGTTTCAGCAGTCGGTACAGTTTCAGCAGTCGGTACAGTTTCAGCAGTCGGTACAGTTTCAGCAGTCGGTACAGTTTCAGGTGTTTGCTGTGCAGATGCCGGTTGGGACGTGGGGCGGGTAAAGAGAAAGTCAGGCAAGCGTAGCAGGGGAATGGAGCTTGAGCTCTTCTGCTGCTGCTGCTGCTGCTGCTGCTGCTGCTGCTGCTGCTGCTGCTGCTGCTGCTGCTGCTGCTGCTGCTGCTGCTGCTGCTGCTGCTGCTGCTGCTGCTGCTGCTGCTGCTGCTGCTGCTGCTGCTGCTGCTGCTGCTGCTGCTGCTGCTGCTGCTGCTGCTGCTGCTGCTGCTGCTGCTGCTGCTGCTGCTGCTGCTGCTGCTGCTGCTGCTGCTGCTGCTGCTGCTGCTGCTGCTGCTGCTGCTGCTGCTGCTGCTGCTGCTGCTGCTGCTGCTGCTGCTGCTGCTGCTGCTGCTGCTGCTGCTGCTGCTGCTGCTGCTGCTGCTGCTGCTGCTGCTGCTGCTGCTGCTGCTGCTGCTGCTGCTGCTGCTGCTGCTGCTGCTGCTGCTGCTGCTGCTGCTGCTGCTGCTGCTGCTGCTGCTGCTGCTGCTGCTGCTGCTGCTGCTGCTGCTGCTGCTGCTGCTGCTGCTGCTGCTGCTGCTGCTGCTGCTGCTGCTGCTGCTGCTGCTGCTGCTGCTGCTGCTGCTGCTGCTGCTGCTGCTGCTGCTGCTGCTGCTGCTGCTGCTGCTGCTGCTGCTGCTGCTGCTGCTGCTGCTGCTGCTGCTGCTGCTGCTGCTGCTGCTGCTGCTGCTGCTGCTGCTGCTGCTGCTGCTGCTGCTGCTGCTGCTGCTGCTGCTGCTGCTGCTGCTGCTGCTGCTGCTGCTGCTGCTGCTGCTGCTGCTGCTGCTGTGAGGCACTGGCAAATGGCTGTTGGGACGCACTGACTGACTGCTGCTGCTGCTGCTGCTGCTGCGACTGCTGCTGCTGCTGCTGCTTCTGCTTCTGCTGCTGCGCGTACTTCTGCTGCATCTGCTGCACCATGGGCACTGCAGAGAGCGGCATGCATTGCATGAGAGGCGAAGCGAGGGCAGACGGACTCCTGGCAAACCCACTGCCATGCCCATGCCCATGCCCATGCCCATGCCCATGCCCACCCATAGCACCAGCACCAGCGCCAACAGCAGTGGCAGCAGCAACGGCAGGGGCAGCGCTGCTGGCACCAGCAGCATCGAGGTAAATGCCGCAGTCAGTGGCGCCACCGTGGTATTTACTAAGCCAATCCGGGCCCAAAATTGCCCTCATAAGGCTTGACACATCTGGATCGTCCACCCACTTGTCGAGAGCGTACGGGTCCTCTTCTCGACTGCTGTATGAGGCAGAGTTTTGTGAATCCTCGAACCGCCTCCGCAACACATCTGGATCCCAGCATTCTCCCTCGTTCCCCCCCTCCTCGTTCCCCCCCTCCTCGTTTCCCTCCTGCTCGCTCCCCTCTTCATCCCCCTCTCCCTCTTCCTCGTCGCTTCCATCATCATCCTCCTCATCTGAATCTTCCTCCTCTTCCTCCGCCTCCTCATTCCCCTCCGCCCTCTCCCCCTCCCCTCCCTCTCCATTCTCCCGCCTCAGCACCCCTTCTCCTGCCCCCTCTCCCCCTGCTCCCTCTCCCCCTGCCCCCTCAATTCCCCCAACCACCCCAGTCTTCTTCACCCTATATCGCGCCACCACCGCTTCTGCCCACCCAATTCCATACTTAAAGTTACTCGAAACGCCTAAAGCAGGCCCAAGTTTCCTTCCCATGTCAGATACCATTTCCAATGTCAGAAACACAGGCAAGGTGCCCTTCTCAGGTGCCCCATCCCTCCCCGCATCCTTCCCCCCATCCCTCCCCGCATCCCTCCCCGCATCCCTCCCCCCATCCTTCCCCCCATCCTCCCCCTGTTCTTCTAGCACCAGCCTGCGCTCTCTAATCGTCCCCCGGCAAACTAATTCTTCCGCCCCCATCTCCTCAAACCACCGCCCCAACGCCTCTTCCAACCTCGCCCACCTCCCCACCCCCGCTCCAACCACCCGCTTCTTCTTCCTCCTCTTCCTCTTCTTCTTCTTCCCCATATTCCTCCACGCCTTCCCAGGCACTCTGCTCGACTCCTCCTCTTTCCCCCGGGGAATAGTCATCCACCACCACCTATCTCTTACTATGTACGATATAGTAGCGCTGTATATCTGCACGCCCCAAGCCGGCAGCACAGCTCTGGCGAGGTAGGCTTGGCGCAGGTTCGGCAGCGCCCGTTGCACGAGGCAGAAGGCCCGCCTTTGCCCTGGCGTCAGCACGGAATGGCGGGGCCGGCGCTCCTTCCCCTCCTTAGGCGGCACTTTGGAGGTATGTGGGGGAGGCGTGGTCTGGCCGGCTTGGGCGGCTCGGGTGGCTTGGGCGGCTTGGGCGGCTTGGGCGGCTAGCCCGCCCTGAAAGGAGTGCAAAGGGACTGTGGTTCGGGAAGCCAGGGCGGCTTGGGAGGGGAGGTGGAGGAGCGTGGTGGTGTGGCGAGCAGCAGGGGTATTGGAATCATTGGGAGCGGCAAGGCCGATGACAATGGGCACGCGGGAAGAGACGCCGGTGGGTATGCTAGGTTCTGCACCTGTGGCTGGTGGGGCTTGGGAGGGGAGGTGGAGGAGCGTGGTGGTGTGGGGGGCGGCAGGGGTATTGGGATCACGGGGAGCGGCAAGGCCGATGACAATGGGCATGCGGGAAGAGACGCCGGTAGGTGCGCTGGGGGCTGCTCCCGTGGCTTGTGGGCCTGCACCTATGGCTGGGGAGGCAGCGCATGTGCCTACAGCGACAGCCTCTGTGCCGGAAGTAAGTTGTCCAAGCCTTCGCTTCTTCACACCATCACCACCACCAGCGCCACCATCGCCACCATCACCAGCACCATCACCACCATCGCCACCACCATCATCACCAGCATCGTCCTCCCATCTAACCCGCTTGCTTCCTCTCTTCCTCATTCCTGCTGCAGCTGTAGGAGCACGAACACTCTCAGCAGCACCAGCACCGTCATCATCAGCATCAGCATCAGAACCAGCATCAGCATCATCATCATAATCAGCATCAGAATCAGCAGCACCACCACCATCAGCATCACCACCATTCGTCCGCTCCTCTACCCCCAAGGCCCCTCCTGTGCTCTCCCCATCTGCATACCCATCTGTGTGCAACCCCCCTCCTCCATCCCTCCCAGACCCTGTTCTATCAACCAAGTCCCTCCCCTCTTCTTCTTCTAGTAACTCAGTCAAGGCATCCGCAGACCAAGGGTTATTTGCCCTCGAAAAATCCCCTTCCCTTAAATTTCCACGATCAGGCTCAGAAGTACTCACAACGCCCCCTCCTACTCCTTCACCTCCTTCATCTCCTCCCCTTCCTACCCCTGTACTCGATATGGAACGTCCTGCTGCTGTACCCCCTACCGTCTTATGCAGCACCTGCCAGGCAGCGCGCTCAGCAGTCCGAATCCGCATGTTCACAAAACTGATCAACCCACCATCCCATCCCTCCACCTCTCCCTCCTCTTCGTCTCCTTTCTCCATCCCATCCTCTCCCGCTCCTCCCTCTCCTCCCGCGCCTCCCTCATCCTCGTTATCAGCATCCTCGTTACTAGTATCCAACAGCAGCAGCAACCCAAACCTCTTTGTAAACCTCGCCGCCCACGACTTGCCATACTTGAAACCCGGCCGCACATTATACCCCGGGCCTATCTCCTTCGCCTTCGCTATAATCTCCTCTCGAGTCACCTCCCTCTTCTCCCTCTCCTCCTTTTTAATCACCCACTCAGCCAAAGCCTCCTCCATTCGTAACAGGTTCGGATCTGGCACCGCTGCGGTAACAATCCCAAACCACTTGTCGTAAAACGTACTTATTCTGTCCAGCGACCGAAAGTTCATCCCCGTTTCGTTTCCGTACTTAGCTGTAATCGCTGCAGCAATCACCTTATTGTCCAAGTTCGGCCGTGCACGCTTGACCACCGAAATCTCGTACCGAGTCCGGATATCAAACGGAACCTCGTTCCAAGGAACACGCCCCGAGCCTGAGTCCCCGCCTTGAGCACCACCACCAGCAGGACCCTCTTCCCCCGAACCTGCTCCATCAGGCCCAGCATCAGTCTCCGAGCCTCCGCCTCCGCCCAGATTAATCTCCTCCCCTCTCGAATTCAACCCGTGGTCCTTTAATAGCCGGAGCATCCAATCCTTGCTGTAAATATGCTCTGCCGGGACGCCGTACGACGGCCCTATAGCCATCGCATAATCCACCATTTCTTTCAACGTCACAAACCTCTTAACTCCGTTTAGAATGTTCTGCGCTTTCAGCGACTCCCGGCGCCTCCTCTCGCGTATCCACTGCAGCAGATCTGCTTCCAATTCCGGGTTCTTGTAACGCTTGCGCCAAAAATTGTGCCACTTGCTTCTAACGGACGGGTCGGTTTTGGCGCGAACGATTATCATCTCCACCTTTGCCTCCCTCAGCGTCACTCCGAAGTGCTTCGCCACTGCACGTGCGATCTGCTCGCTGGTGAGAAAGGGGTGGGCTTTTTTGAGAGCCAAGATTTCCCGCTCAATTTTCTGGTCCACCACGATTCGTTTGTTCTTCCGCTTCGGACGTCGTTCGGACCCTGAAGCCACAGGTTCGGACGGCGGTTCGCAAGGGCCTGCCGAGCCTGTCGCTGCTGCAGACGTGGCTGCTGGCTGCTGCTGATTGGCTGACAAAGGTGCAGCGAGATCAGCCTGCATTTCGCCTCCACCAGACCCGCCATTCTGATTGAAACCTGACGGCTCCTGCTGTCGCATCTTAAAGCGAACGAAAGCCAGTAAAACGAGGATGTCAAACGAGACTACCAAGGGAGATAAAGAGAGAGAGAGAGAAAAAACCCATCAGCTCCGCAACCGTAGCTGCTGGACTATAATGAATCGCGTAGCTCTTCTCGCGAGTTTAACAACTTAGACGCAATTAGAGCACTCCGGCGGGCTGTCACGACGATATGTATATCACGATGATGTTACGACCGAGCCTAGAATAATAACAAACCTAACTAGAATAAGGACGTGCCTAGCTAAAATAGGGACGAGCCTAGACCTGCAACATAACTAAAACTACGACTCGACTAGAGTCACGATGACGAGCCTAAAAAAAATAAAAACAGGAGCTTGCTATTTTCAGGAGGAGCCTGGCGGTGTGTCAGAATTGCAGCTGACTGGGAGCGACTTGAGAATGATTCAAACAAGCATGGCGGGAACATTGATAAGGGAGATAAGCAGCTGAATAACAAGTGGCAGAGAAGAATTACTTCGGCCTCCTATCAGGCAGAACCTGAGAGACACAGATATGGATTACTGGTTCTTCTGCAAGAATGCGGGAAAAGTTGTTTCTGATAAAGGGATGACAGTTCTCTCCATAATTCCATCGCGCAAGATGAAAATAAAACCTTTCTTCATGGGCCGTAGAAGCAGATCGACGGTTGGCATAGTCCCTTTGATGAGAGGCAGATGTTATTGACGGTAAAGAAGCACCAAAAACTCCCAAGGTGGAGAAATAAATTCCTGCTTTTGCCGCAAGGAGAAAACCCCACAATTCGAACTTGCGGGACGAGGAGGTAGCCTCGATAAATTCGTCGCTAAAGCCGAAAGACAAGCCCTTTCCCGCTACTGTTATGCCAACGCTATCGACGGTTCAGCGGGAGGTTCGTCACAACTCTCGATGTGATCGACGGCATCCGTGGGATGGAACCTGTGAAAGATTTTCGAGAGTATTCCGAAAACGATTGGGTTTCCGCCACAGCCGTTTCGGGCGAACCAAGAACGTCAGAAAAAAACCAAAAGGCCTCACTACTTCGATAAATATATTCCATCAAGTTCCTTGACCCTTTTTAGCATTCATCACTTATAGCATCCATCAAGTACAAAGTTAGTTATTACACACTAGACAAAGCACCCTAAGAAACCGGCATAGTACCAGTTGAACTAACATCAATCAGCTACTACTAGCACATCATCATCATCAGCCTTGGACCCACCACCACCAGCAGAATCATCACCATCCTTATTCTCACCACCATCCACTTCCACAACATCGTCATCATCATCATCATCATCAAGATCACCTCCAGCAGCATCAGCACCAGCTGCAGCTCGACCAAGCGAAGACGGCGAGGGCGCAAACTGTCCAAGCAGCAGTTTTGACATGGAGCTTGGGGCAGGAGGTTCACCCAACCTACCTGCCCCAGTTGGCCCTGCAGCAGCACCAGTGGCAGCTGCAGACGCAGCACTGCCACCAGCAGCAGCAGCCATGCCCGTGGTATCCTGCTGAAGTGCCAGCAGTATTGACATGGAGCTTGGGGCAGGCGAATCACCCAACCCACCTCCTGCAGCAGCACCAGCAACAGCAGCAGAACCACCAGCAGGAGAAGCAGCAGCCGAGCTCATCGTGTCCTGCTGAAGTGCCAGCAGCGTGCACATGGACGGCGCGAGCGGCATGGCATGGCGAGTCGCAGCGCGAGTCGCAGGGCTATCCAGCGGTAGTGACCGTGGTATGGTCCACCCAGTGGCTCCATCGGGGCTAGCTTGTGTTGATGGCGGCTGCGCAGCAGGAGGAAGACCTGAGGGGCTATTCTGTGTTCGTGGTTGCGAGGCAGGAGGCAAACTAGATGGGCTGCCGTGTGTTAAAGGTAGCGAGAGAGGAGGCTGTGTTGAAGGGGTGCCTTGCGGTGAAGCAGTGGCAATACAGGGCTGACTTGAAGGGCTGTTTGAGGGGCTATTGTGACCTTTCGACAATTCCTCTTCATCGCATCTCAAGGCCTGCTCCCCTCCGTCTCTGAGCGACTGCTCCTTCTCTCCTTGCGTACCCTGCCCCACTTGATTATCCGCTATAGCACTCTCCGCTATAGCACTCTCCGCTATAGCACTCTCCGCTATAGCACTCTGCGCCATCGCAGCTCGTGCCGCAATGCTTTGCGTAATCATACTGTGTGCCCACGGCGGCTGCACGTCCTTCTTCCTCTCCCTACGTAGCGCCCTCATACGCCGTTCCTTCTTGCTTTGAACAGAGATTTGACTTTGGCTCCGCAGAACTCTCCCTTGATACCCGATCGCTACTCTCCCCTCTCGCCGTCTGCCTGACACCTGCCTGACTGCTGACGGCACAGCAGCAGCACCAGCAGCAGGAGCAGTAGCACCACCACCACCACCACCATCACCATCACCACCACCAGCAGCATCACCACCATCACCACCAGATTGACCAGTGGAAGCAGCAGCAGCAGAAGCGGCAGCGACAGCAGCAGCAATGCGGTGCCTCCTAGCCATGGCAGCTCTAACAGCAGCAGCAGCAGCAGCAGCAGCACGGGTCCTGGTGGCAATACCTGTAGAGGGGAACCTAGATCTCACACTAGGGCCAGCAGTACCAGCAGAAGTACCAGCAGAGGTACCAGCAGCGGTACCAGCAGAGGTACCAGCAGTGGTAGCAGCAGTCACAGCACGGGTGTTAGGCATAGATGCTGTAGCGCGGAATCCAGCCTTTCCAGTGGCAGCTGTAGCATAGAACCCAACCTTTAAAGCCGCACGGGCTCGGCCAGTCACGGCTGTAGCGCGAAATCCAGCCTTTCCAGTCACGGCTGTAGCATAGTACCCAGCCTTGACGGCAGCACGCGTTCTTCCAGTCATGGCTGTAGCACGGGACCCTGCCTTGACAGCAGCACGGGTTCGGCCAGTCACGGTTGTAGCAGAAGGTGCGTCAGCATCCGCAGTATCATGAGCAGCTGCTGTAGCAGCAGCAGCAGCGCGTGTCCACACACCCACCGCTGTAGCAGCAGGCACAGCTTCAGCAGCAGGATCAGCTGTAGGGGCAGAGACAGCTGTAGCAGCAAGCGCAGCTGTAGCAGCGGTATAATCAGGAGTGACAAGCTCGACTGTGGTTGGCGGAGCAGGAGCAGTACTGATCACAAGCGCAGGAGCAGCGGTGGGTGCAGCACTGGGTGTAGCAGCAGCAGGTGCAGCAGCAGGTGCAGCAGCAGGTGCAGCAGCAGTTGCACGAACGGCAAACGTGGGGGACGATGCGGCTGGGAGGGCGAGAACTACCCCAGACCTCTGGGACAACGGGGAATGCACCCCTCCTGCTGCTACTGTTCCTGCTGCTCCTCCTGCTGCTCCTGCTGCTCCTGCTGCTGATGCAAGCAGGGAACCAGGTTGATTGCACTGGTTGGCACTTGGATTGAATGGGTCAGCAGCAGGCAGACTGAGCCGGCTAGCAGTTAAAGAGTAACGGCCAGCAGGCAGAGTGGATTGGTTAGCCGTTGAGTCGTATTGATCAGCAGCAGTGGAAGGCAGATTGGCTGGCAGGCGGGGAGCAGAACCGGCAGAAGAACCGCCAGCAGCAGAAGCAGGGGCGTTGTAGTTTGCGCGTCGCCTGCGCACCCTGAGACCGTAAGGTGGCTCCCAATGACTCTCCTGAAAGGCCCTCGTATGACCCAGTGGAGCAGGTGCAACAGGACGAACAGCAGCAGTGGCAGCAGCAGCAGTGGCAGCAGCAGCAGCAGCAGCAGCAGCAGCAGCAGCAGCAGCAGCAGCAGCAGCAGCAGCAGGAGTGGCAGCAGTGGCAGCTGGAGTGGCAGCAGTAGCAGCGGCAGCACCAGCACCAGCACCAGCAGCAGGAGCGTTTCTGGAAGAGAAGTTTGAAAGTGGGCCTCGGGGTCCGTGCAGGAAGCTCAGGAGGGAGTTGCGGGAGGGGATCGAGGCTGCAGCAGAGGGAGTAGCAGCAGCAGGCTGATTAGACCCCCCTGCAACCGGGATTCGTGCAAGTGAAGGGCGGCCGGTCGAAGGAGCACCAGCAGCAGACTGACGAGCAGCAGCAGCAGCAGCAGTAGCGGCAGAGGGGCGAGCAGTGGTGGCAGTAGGAGGTGTGGCAGTAGGAGGAGCAGCAGCAGGAGGAGCAACTGCAGAGGGGCGGGGAGGCTGCACGCGAGTGGAGTGAGTAGGCTGGGTGTTGAGAGACGCAATCAGCTGCTGTAGGCCTGGCACAGTAACAGCAGCAGCAGCAGCAGCATTACCAGCAGCAGTGCCACCAGTGCGCTGCAGTGGCAGCTGGGAAGCTGCCATAGCCGAAAACTGTTGCCATAAGTTTGTGGGCAAAGATACACCAGCAGCAGCAGCACGACCACCTGCAGCAGCAGCAGTGGAGCGCGGGAGCTGCATCTGCTGCTGGGACTGGTTAGCCCCGGAAGCAATCTGCTGCAGCAGAGCGGGTAAAAAAGCAGCAGCGGCTGCAGCAGCAGTGGGATTTTGCAGCTGAGGGGAATGAGCAGTTGCCTGCGAGGCTAACAAGGCGATCTGCTGCAAGAGGTTGGGAAGAGAAGTGGTAGCAGCATTGGGGCGTGGTTGCTGCTGCTGTTGCTGTTGCTGCTGCTGCTGCTGCTGCTGATGCTGCACCAGCAGTGACCCCAGAGCGAGAGCGAACTCAGGACCAAAGGACTGGGTGACGTTGCGTGCCAGGGACAGCAAATCTGAATTGGCTGGTTGGTTGGGGCCTGAGGAGGCTGCGAGTTGGTTCGTGAGAAGGTGGGTAAGGAGGGTTGCAGCATCTCGTTCTCCTGCTCCTGTGGAGAGTGCTGCTGCTTGATTGGCTGCTGGTTGATTTGCTGTTGCTTGATTGGCTGCTGGTTGATTTGCTGTTGCTTGATTGGCTGCTGTTGATTTGCTGTTGCTTGATTGGCTGCTGGTTGATTCGCTGTTGTTTGATTGGCTGCAGAAGCAGAAGCAGCGGCAGGAGGAGCAGCAGCAGAGCCGGGAGCAGGAGCAGGCACGGGAGCAGGAGCAGGAGCAGGGGAAGCAGAAGTGGAAGCAGGAGCAGGGGAAGCACGATCAGTGGCAGCAGCAGTGGCAGCAGCCGTAGCAGCAGCAGGAGAAGCAGCGGCAGCAGTATCAGTCGCAGCGGTTGCACCTGCTGCAGCTGCAGCAGGAGCACCTGTGGTAGCAGCAGCATCTGTAGCAGTAACATCTGTAGCAGCAGTAGCACCTGTAGCAACAGCAGTAGCAGCATCTGTAGCAGTAGCACCAGTAGCAGTAGCACCAGTAGCAGTAGCAGCAACATCTGTAGCATCAGCAACCTCAGTGAGGCTGAGACGGGAACCAGTAGCGTGCGGCGCGGGGGGGTGGGAAACAGAGCGGTGCTGCTGAAAGGAGCACCAAACGGAGCATTAGAAAGAGCATTGGAAGAACCAGGGTCAGCACGAGAGCCACCACCATCGGGAGGCACTTGGGAGTTTGGAAACAAAAACTGTGCGAGGAGAGGGGGCAGCCCTAAAGGAGCTTGGCACCCTGTCAGACCCTGCGGCTGCTGCGGTTGACTGCAGTTGGTGTTAGTGTGCTGCTGTGGGTGCGCTAGTGCTGTTGGTGGTGCAGTGTTGTACGTGTGCTGTGTCACAGTGGCAAACCGTGTGCCGTACGGCGTTTCCTGCTGTGCCCCGAACTGAATCGTGGTTACTTGGGCACCAGCAGCACCAGCTGCTGCTGCTGGTGGTGGTGGTGCTGGCGGCGGTGCAGGGAAAGGAGGCTGGGGGAAAGCCAGATGCGCGAAGCCGGATTGGGGAAAGGCGGGTTGAAGGAAGGCAGATTGCATCGGCGTAACTCCTGGTGCCTGCTGCTGCTGCAACATATTGGTGAATGCTGCAAGTGCATCCGCCCCTCCACCCATCTTCTCCTTTCCCTTCTTCTTTCCTCTCTTCTCCCTCTCCTTCTCCTTCCCCTTCCCCCTCTTCCTTTTCTTCTCCTTCTCTTCTCCCTCTTCCTCTTCTTCCTTTCCTTCCTCTCTTTCCTCTCCTTCCTCTGCTGCCTCCTTCTCTCCCTCGCCTCCTCCTTGGTATGATCGCCCCACTCTGCTGCCTCTCCCTCCGTTTCCCCACCTGTCTCTGTCTCACCGCCTGTTGTCCCTCCTCCCGTTGCTTTCCCTCCCCTCCCTCCACCAATCCCCCACTCTTCAACCTCCGCATCTCCCTCCTCCTCCACCTCCTCCACCTCCTCCTCCTCATCCCCCTCTACCTCCTCTTCTTCCTCCTCATACCCCTCCTCCATTTCCACCTCCTCCACCTCCTCCTCTTCCTCTTCTTCCTCTTCCTCCTCCACAGCAACCACAGAGGCATCTTCCAGCAAACTCCTCGCGTCCCGCATGTCTCTCACCCCTACAAGTCCGGAAAACTGCCACCACCGCCAGAACTCCTCAGGCGTTTTGATCTTCCCCGCTGCCATCACAGCTGCCACTGCAGCGTCTCTCTCCTCCCTTCCTCCCTCCTCTCCCTCTCCTCCTCCCTCTCCCCCATCTGCTTCCTCTTCCTCACCTCTCCCACCTCTCCCCCCTCCCCCCTTCCCTCCTCTTCCTCTTCCTGCCCCTGTCCTTACCCAAACCTGTGTCCGAACCAACTTCGAAGCCCGTTGAAACAGGCTCGGAAGACGCCTTGTCAAGGTTCCCCCACGCTGCCTGCAGGTTCGGAAGAGCGTCCGAGGCTCCGCCGACCCGGATTCCCGCCAGCTCAGCAACAATATCTTGAAGGTACGCTGGGATTGGTCCAGGCAAGTTGGCTACATTGAGTGAGTTAAGAAGCGAGGCTGCTACACTCCCTCCTGCCACTCCTGCCACTCCCCCTGCCACTCCCCCTGCCACTCCCCCTGCCGCTCCCCCTGCTGCTCCCCCTGCAACTGCCCCTGCCGCTCCCCCTGCTGCTCCCCCTTCTGCTGTTGCTCTCTCTCCCTCCCTTAGCCCGCCCTCCCTCCCTACTCCAACACTCAGGCCAAAACCACCCCCATCATCATCACTATCATCACCACCACCAACGCCACCACACCATCGTCATCGAAATCACTCCCTCCCAAGCCTCTCATTGCACCCTCCCCTTCCTCCCCTCTCTGCCCTCCCTCGCCTCGCTCCCTCTCCCCAGCCGACTGCATCTCCTCACCTCCCTCTCTCCCTCCTCCCCCTCCTCCTCCCTCTCCTCCCCCTGCTCCTCCCCTTTCCCCACCTCCTCCCGCACCTCCTCCTCCCGCTCCTCTTGCTCTCTCCTGCATCTGCATCATCTTTTTCTTCCGCTTGTTGAATGCCCCGGCCAGCACCACCTCGCGGAAGCGCTGCTGCCGCTGCAGCTCCAGCTCCTCCGCCAGTTTCCCCAGCGCCTCAATTTCCTCCGGTACCAGGTTAAAGCCCTCGTCGAACAGATCCCAGGAGAGCTCTGCTGGCACGAGTGTCTCCCCTGCTTCTGCTGCTGCTGGCACGTCACCAGCGGCAGCAGAAGCAGGACCAGCAGCAGCACCAGTGGCAGCAGAAGCACCAGCACCAGCAGCACCAGCGCCAGCAGCAGCTGCCATGGCAGTGCCAGCAGCAGTACCAGCAGCTGCAGCAGCGCCTCCTCCTCCTCCTCCTCCTCCTCCTCCTCCCCCTCCCCCTCCCCCTCCCCCTCCCCCTCCCCTCCCCCCCCCCTCCCCCTCCCCCTCCCGACTCACCCCTTGCTTCCCCCCCTTCGCCCCCTTCCCCCCCAGTCTGTCCCCCCTCTCCCCCACTCCTTCCCCCATCCCCTTCCCCCTGACCCTCAAAGAGAGGAGCAAATTTCTTCCACCTGGGAGACGCCTTTACAGCCCAGTGGTTCATGAAGCCCCAGCGGTGCATGAGACCCGCCACCCAGGCGAATGTTATCGACCTGTGGGGTAGAGAGGGGTCAAGTGTGGTTATGGCACGAAAACCTTGCAACATTTCTTCCACCTGGGAGACGCCTTTACAGCCCAGTGGTTCATGAAGCCCCAGCGGTGCATGAGACCCGCCACCCAGGCGAATGTTATCGACCTGAAGGCAATGTCGGGGTGGTTGGGGTTGGGGGCAAGGCGGGAAGGGAAGGGATCGGTAGAGGTTGTGTGGGGTGTACGATGCTGCCTCAGCCTCTCAATGTTTCCCCCACCTGGGAGACGCCTTTACAGCCCAGTGGTTCATGAAGCCCCAGCGGTGCATGAGACCCGCCACCCAGGCGAAGGTGATGCTCCAGCCTCCAGGCAAAGCCCACCGCCTGCCCCATGCTCACTTGGATTGGAGGGGAGAAAGCCCATCCAACCCAACCCCCACTGCCTGCTCACCTGGAGGGGGGGGGGGCCAAACAGCGGCGCCACCTTGTCGGCATACTCCTCCACTACCTGGCGCCTACCTGGCGCCTCAACACAACAAGCCCTCAACTCAGCAGAGCCCACCCCACCCCGCACCGCATGCTCACCTGGAGGGGGGGAAGCCAAACAGCGGCGCCACCTTGTCGGCATACTCCACTACCGCCTCGGGATGCACCATGACGTGAGCAGATCTGCCACAGCAACCCCTCTTGAGGCGCCTTCTTAACACAAATGACTCAAAGCCCACCTCTCACTGAGTACCCGCCTGGAGGTCGGGAAGCCAAACAGTGGCGCCACCTTGTTGGCATACTCCACACTGCCGCCTCGGGATGCACCATGATCTGCCGCAGCAGCAGCAATGCAGCCCTTCTTGAGGCACCTTCTTGGCGCATATACTGACTCAAAGCCCACCCCACCTCACAGTATACTGCTTACTTGGAAGGGGGGAAGCCAAACAGCGGCGCCACCTTGTTGGCATACTCCACCACCGCCTCGGGATGCACCATGATCTGCCGCGGCAACCCCGCCTCCTCTTCCTCCTCCCCCTCCTCCCTTTCCTCCCCTCCCACTGCTGCTGCTGCTGCTGCTGCTGTCCCTCCTCTCCCTCACCACCCCCTCTTCCTCCCCCTCCCCCTGCGCCCTGAGAGCCCACCCTCACTCCTCCACCCAACACACCCCGTTGTGTTGCTGCGCCTCTCCCACTGCCCTGCGCCTCTCCCTTGTCCAGATCCGCCAGAGCCTTTTTCATTGCGTCCGATACTGCCTTTTCCAGCCGCATGAACTTGGTATACTGGGCAAAAGGGGGGGTGGGAATGGGGAAGCGGAGGTGGGTGAATGTATGGATGTGCAACGAAGGGCACTGAAATCCGCCAGGGCCAGCGTCTGATACTGCCTTTTCCAGCCGCATGAACTTGGTGTACTGGGGTAGGGGGGGGAGGGGGAGGGGCAGAGGAAATGGGTGTAGGTAATCCGCCAGGGCCTTTTTCATGTATGCATGTGTGTGCAGCGCAAGAAGGGCGCTCAACTCAAATCCGCCAGGGCCTTTTGCATTGCGTCTGGACTGGAATACTGCTTTTTCCAGCCGCATGAACTTTGTCTACAGGGCAGGGGAAGGTGAAGGGGGAAACGGGAAGGAGGAAGGCCTTTTTCACTGCGTCTGCCTGCCAGTGCCTTTAACAACCGCATGAAACTTTGTGTACATTGCAGGGGGTGGGGACACGTGTAGTGAGGGTGTTTTTGAGACGTCTCAAAAACACCCTCACTACAGTGCAGGGGGCGGGGTCAGGCAGGAACGAGAGAGGAGACCGAAGAAGAGGGCGGAGGGAACGCCTCTGAAGGGGAACACCCCCCACTGCCAACGCCCACTCCCCACTGGAACCAACCCCCCCCCAACTCACATGTAACTCAGCTTTCTCAAACACACACTGCTCACCTGCTTCATCTTGGGCAGCACTTCACGCCCCTCCCTGTACGCCTTGTGAGGTGCCCTGCGCCCACCCCTACCTCCCCACCCTCTCTCTATTCTAAACACCAACCTCACTCCCTGCTCGAAAGTTTCAAGTTGAAATTCCACTCACCTGCTTCATCTTGGGCAGCACTTCACGCCTCTCCCTGTATGCGTCTCTCATCACCTGTGCCTGCCACCGCACCTTGTCCTCCCGTGCCATGTAATCCGCTATCACCGTGCGGCTCGTGTCAACGCCGTACCTGGAAGCAGGGAGAGAGGGGGCAGAGTAGGATAACAGGGGTATGGATGGGAGAAACAGTATGAGTGGTGGAGAGACTCGCAGGCTGCTTCAGCCGCTGTATTTTCAAGAATTTACCTCGCTTGAACGGCCCGTTTGACAGCAGTGTGCGGCAGGTCCTGCCTGGCCCGGGCAAGAGAGATGAGGGCAAGCTTCCAAGTCACCAGCACCTCCTGGTACTGCTTGCGCTGCTGCTTCTTCTTCCCCCCCTCCTTCCCACTCTCCCTCCCGCTCTCCCTTCCACTCTCCGGTCCAGTCTCCCTACCACTTTCCCCACCAGCCTCCCCACCACCCTCCCCACCACCTCCCTCCTCTCCTCCTCCCGCGCCCCCGTCCGCTCCCCCGCTCTGCTTCTTCTTCCTCCCCCTTTTCTTCCCCGTGCCCTGCGCCGCCGCCGTTGCTCCACCACGCCCCCTCGCACCTACGGTCCCTACCCTCCTCTTCGGCCGCCCGGTCTTCTTCCTCTTCCACCTCTTCTTCAATAACGCCTCAACTCCCACTTCCCCATCCCACCGCTCGTCCCCCTCTCCCTCCTCCTCCTCCCCTCTCCGCACCCGCTCTTCCCGCTCAGCCACAAACTGAGCCACCACCTTAAGAAGCTTATCAGCAGCAGTGTTCCAAATCTTGTTCCGCCTCACTGTCTTCTCATCCCGTTGCTTTCGCACCAGCCCTGTCACTACATTCCCCAGATGCATGTTCACATCCATTCCTAGAAACCCACCCCCTTCCCCTACCCCTTCCCCCTCCCCTTCCCCTTCCACGTCCGTCCCTTCTCCTCCCCCATCCGTGGTGTTCCCCTCTCCACCGTCCGTTGTGATCCCATCTCCACCGTCCGTTGTCCCGCCGCCCTCACCGTACCCTTCCCGCCCGCCATTATCACTCTCCGTTCCGTCACTCTCTCCTACCCCAGAAGTATTCCCTCCTCTCCCTCTCCCACTGCTCCTTCCACCACCACCACCACCACCACCACCACCACCATCACCACCACCACCACCATCACCACCACCATCACCACCACCACCACCAGCACCACCACCATCCCCACCCCCACCACCCCCTTTGCGGTTCGCACGCAGGTCCTCTTTCGTTCGCCACTTCAGCCCGTGCCTCCCCGCAAATTTTAAAATCCACGACATGTGGAACTTGAACTTGGGATTCTTTTCCGCAATCCCGAAACTCGGAGCCAGCTTCTGCGCATACGCCAGTATATCCTCGTACAGAAGATTCTCCTTCCCATACTTCGCCCGCATATCCCGCACCCACGCCGCGAGTGCCTCTTCAAACTCTGGAAACTCCACCCGCCTTGGGACTGGTTTCTTAGGCTTGTTCAGGTCCGCATTCAGGTACTGGTAGCTCTTGCGTAGGGTATACCGGAGGGCTGCAGGGGAAATACTCGCTGCAATCACAGGCCCGCAGGATTCCAGTATAATGTGGATGATTTCTTGGTTGGTGAGCGACGGCCGAGCTTCCTTGAGTAGACAGATTGCCTTCCGCATCTTGATCGTTCGCACACAGGTGGTGATTTTTTTGTGCTTTTCTTTGAACTGCTTCTGTTCTTCCAGCAGCCGATAATATTCCACGTATACCGGGTTAGTCTGCAGCTCCTCTTTACTAATCACCCTGCCCGTGATCGGATTCCGGGGTAGAACCTCAATCTGTGCCGCGTTTGCAAGGTCGGCTTCGGTAATTACCCTCCGAGCCTCCGCCGCAGCTCGGGCTTCAGCCATGGCGAGCTCTACTAGCTTCGGATCGGGCTGGTAACCCTCCGAGTCTTCCCCGTCATCCCCATAGTCGAGCGAGTTTGCAGTGTTTGTAGTGTTGGCAGTGTTAGCAGTGTTGTTGGTCCCTCCTATCATGCTGTTTGCAGCAGTAAATGGGGCTGACTCATTCAAAGAGCTCGCTCCAAAAGCGGCTGAGTCGAGAGGCTGGTTGGAAGAAGGACCACCACCACCACCACCACCACCACCACCACCATCAGCACCAGCACCAGCACCATCAGCAGCAGCATCAGCTGTCCGAACCACCACCATCTCTCCTCCTTCCAGCTCCTCAAATAAATCCCCTGGGATGACGTCATCTTGATCCCCTTCTCCCGCTCTCGCCTGCCCCTCTTCCTGCCCATACCCCACCCCACCTTCCTGCCCATACCCCACCCCACCTTCCTGCCCATACCCCACCCCACCTTCCTGCCCATACCCCACCCCACCTTCCTGCCCATACCCCACCCCACCTTCCTGCCCATACCCCATCCCAGCCTCCTGCCCATACCCCTGCCCTGTCCCCTGCCCGTACCCCTGGCCCTGCCCGTTCGCCTGCCCTGTCATCTGCCCGTATCCCTGTCCCATCTCCTGCCCATACCCCTGTCCAGTTCCCTGAGTATACCCTCCGTGCTGCGCATATTCCCCCCCTCCCACTTCCTGCCCATGCATCCCTACCCCAACCTGCCCATACACATCCCTGTGCTGCCGCTGCTGCTGCTGCTGCTGCTGCTGCTGCTCCCACTCCGCCCCTTCCCCCAAAACCCCCCCATCGCCCCTCCCCGCCCCTCTCCCCCTCCCCCTCCCTCTCCCCGACCCAGTCCCCGACTTCCTACCCAGCAAGTTCTCAGCCCACCAGTCCCTAGGCTTCCGTCCCTTCTGGTTCGCCCGTGGCTTGAACAGCTCCTGGCCAAACATCTGATCCGCTAGCTCAATTAGAGAAGGCCCAGCAGAATCATCCTCGTTAGGGTAGTCTTCACACGCCGCGTCTATAGCCTCCTGGGAGAATCCCAAGTGGGACAACACGCGGTACACCCACGCCCTTGTGTACTTAAAAGTCGGGGGAAACCCGAACGAATACCCCAGCTCCTTGGCCTTCTCAATCACCTGCTCGCTCGGCACCACGCCGAGCCTCTGCTGCTCCTCCCCGAACCACCGCGCCAAAGCTCCCTCCATACCAGACTGGTCCGGCGGCTGGTTGCTTCGGTTGTGCCCTTTCCCGCCCAGCATCCCCAACCACTTATGCGGCTTCTGAATAATATCCGCCACCCGAGTCGAGTAAATCCTGATCCCAGGATACTTCGTTTTAAGCACTTGAACAATCTTCACTAGCGTGATTCCCGGCCGGTCACGCCGAAGCTCACAAATTTCGGCTTTTAGCGTAACTGGGATGAAGTGGCGCCGTTTTCTCTCAGGGTCCCTCAGTCGCACCGGCCGGAACTCCCCATCCACGTCAGTATCTGACCCGTCTGTTGCTGCTGCCGCCGCTGCTGCTGCTTCTGCTGCTGCTATTGCTGCTGCCGCCGCTGCTGTGCCAGGGCCAGAGGCGACCACACCTGCTTCTCCTCCTGCTGCTGCTGTCGCCAGCACTCCGCCTTCCCCTTCTCCTCCCCCTCCCCATCCTTCCCCTGCTTCCCCTCCTTCCTCTCCTTCACCTCCTGGTGCCATCCCCTCAGCTCCATACTCCTCTCCCTCCATCCCACCACCCATCCCCATCTCACCATCAGCAAAGCCCGTCGCATCAAGATCGAACCCGACTTGAGCCATTCCCCCCTCCATGGCCCCCGCTTCCCCCCCCACCGCCACTCCAACCGCTTCTCCACCAACCCCACCCGCAACACCAGCAACACCAGCAACACCAGTGGCACCAGCAACACCGGCAGCAGTTCCAGCAGCGGCAGCGCCTGCTGCTCTAGCAGCAGCAGCCCGGGCGGCTGCCAGCCCTGCCGCATACCCAGCAGCGTAGATAGCAGACATATCACCATCCCCCCCCACTTCGCCCCCGACCGCCTCCTGCCCTCCCACCCCTTGAAGAGGCACCTGAAGCCCAGAAACACCCCCCATTATAGCTTGCACAGGGTCTGGAACAGCAACTGTCTGCTCTTGCAGTCTCACTACCTGCCGCTCTTCTCCCCCTGCGCTCCCCTCTCCCCCTGCTGCTGCTTCCTGCCCCGCCCCTACTGCCGCACGTCTCCCTTGCCGGGACCCCTTCCCCCTTCCCTGCCCTCCCGCCCCACCCCCCGCGCGCCTCCCCCTCGACACCCCTCTCCCCGCGCCTGCCCTCTGACCCTCAGCCCCAGCCGCAACATCTGCAGCAGCAGCAGCTGTAGCGGCGACTGTAGCAGGAGCAGTAACCGCAGCAGCTGTAGCCGTGGCTGCAGTAGCGCGAGTGCTCTGACTCTGCTGCTGCTGCCGCTGCTGCTGACCATACTCCTGATCACCGTACTCTGCTGCCGCCTGATGGTAACCCTGACCTTGCCCATAAACCTGCCCCTGCTGGTTCGTCTGCCCTTGATCATACCCCTGCGCCTGCTGATAACCCTGCCCGTTCATCTGCCCCTGGTCATCAACATGCGCATACCTCTGACCACCGCGCCCACGCCTCTGCCCGTAACCCTGCCCCTGCCGTGCCGTGTCCGCATACACTGCATCTGGCTCATTCTGTGCCTGAACCCCTGCCACTAGCCCCAAATCGTAACCCCCCCCTTGAGCGTGCCCCTGGGCTTGCTGGTAAGCGAGATTCCCAGGCGTTGTAACAGCTGCTGTTGTAACCACAGCAGGCGCAGCAGCAGCAGTAGCCGCCGCAGCAGTAGCAGCCTCGTACCCATGGTAACCCTGCAGCCCGGCTGTCGTTACAGCATCATTGTTGTAACCAGCGTTACCACTACCACCTACAGGCAGCAAACTCCCCTGGTCGAAACTCTCCACGTGAGTGTGAGCGGATACGACAGCAGCAATGGTTCGGTTCCATTCCTGAGCGTGAGATTGCTCCTGACTCGCAACATTCGCACTTGCAACTTGTCCTTCGAGAGCATCCAGCCACCATTCTCGCTGCGTCTGTCGCACAGGTTGTTCCTGCCGCTGCTCCTGCCGCTGCTCCTGACGCTGACCCTGTCGCACAGCCTGCCTCTGTGACTGTTCATCCGCCTGCGTCGCATGTCGCACCGCTTGCGTTTGTCGTTCAGGCTGCTGCACTTGTCGCACGGGCAGCACTCGTCCTTCCACCTGCAACTGCCGTTCCGCTTGCACTCGCTGCTGCCGTTCGGCCTGCACGTGTCGCCCAGCCGTCGCTTGTCGCACGGAAGTCGCTTGCTGTCGCACGGCCTGCGACTGTCGCACAGGCTCCACCTGCCTGGACTGGTACTGAGCCGCGCGTGTGGATTCATTTCCACCAAACACCCCCTGGGCGTTGTAATCAGTAACAGCTGCTGAAGTCGAAGCAGTAGCAGCACCGCTTAACCCTGCCGAATCGTACCACGTGGCGGCGGCTTGATTCAGGGTCTGACTCTGTGCCACGTGTCCGCCGCCTCCGTCCGCAGCCTGAGAACTTCCGTAAAATCCGGCTGCTGGCTGTACTGATCCTGTGACAGGTAGGAGCGAGCCGACCGTTTGGGCTGCGGCGGTGGTTCCGGCGCGAGCAGCGGACCAAGCGTTTAGAATCGCCTGCTGCTGGACTTGATACGCGTTCAGAGACGGCGAGACCTGATAAGCGGTTTGGGCCGGCTGCTGCTGATAAGCGGTTTGAGCCGGCTGTTGCTGATAAGCGGTTTGAGCCGACTGTTGCTGATAAACGGTTTGAGTCTGCTGCTGCTGATAAGCGGTAAGAGTCGGCTGCTGAAACGCGCCGGCTTGGGTGGACGGAGCAGCGGGGACTGACGATCCAAAGAAATGGAACGTGTTCGAGTTCTGTTGAGCCATGGCCTACAGTCTAATAGAAATACCTACTTCGCTGCTGTATAAGTCGTTTTTATAACAAGCGAGTTAGTCGCAACATGGACACCAGCAACTTTGGCAGAGCGCCATTGCGGAACCGAAGCCGAGCAGGTGGTGTGAAGACATTACTCTCAGCAGGAGGAACTACATATTTTTCCATTCGTACAACGGTTATGAAGGCAAGGTGAATGTTGTGAGCATCGCGGGAAACGGGCAGGGTCTGACAACAAGCTTTCGGACACACGAAGACTGGAGTTCTGACAAGGTACACTCCAGCAGGCGGAATGTTAGGCCCGCTGGCCTAAATCCGCTAAAGAATTAGCGGGGTCGACTAAGTCGAGGATAAAGCGCGGCGGAAGACTTTGGCGAAAGAACTGCTGGCGAAATAGGCGAAGGAGTTACTGAGTAATTGAAGAAGAGTTGAATGAGAATTGGTTGATAATGCCAAGTACAAGCAAGGTTTATAAAGCATGCAAGAAACAAGGTTGGAAAGTGGATTGTGGGACCAAGAATTGTAGTGCAAGAAAAGTAGAGTGCCACGTGGCACTAGAGAATCTGAGAAGATAAGGATAAGGGTGACTTGGAAAGTACTGTTCGGAATGAACAGTAAATCCCCCCTTAACACTACCCCCCTCCCAAGGAGGCGACGTCCACGGCGCCTGCAGACTGAAGGTACGATCGGAGACAAGCGTTGTCGGGAGACAGCGAGGACGAAGGAACCCAGCTGTCGTCGGCTGCATCGTAACCACGCCAACGAACCAAGAAGTCGATGAAAGAGACACCTCCCTGCAGACGGCGACGGTGCCTGAGGATGCGCTGGATCTGGTAGTCGGGCTCGTCGGTGTCAACAGCTACCGGCAGTGGAGTGCGATCACGGCCCGAGAAGGTGGTGTTGGGATCAGTGTAAGGCCGAAGGAGAGACACGTGGAATGATGGGTGCATGCGGAAATGAGCGGGAAGGCGAAGGCGGTATGCGACTGGACCAAGTGCGCGCTCAATGACGAATGGACCAATGAAACGTGGGCGAAGCTTGCTGTCCTGTGGCAGTCGGAGGTTGCGGCTATCGAGAAGGACACGGTCACCAACTGAAAACGACACCTCACGACGACTGCGGTTGGTGGTGCGTGCCATGCGTGCATTTGCGAGCTCAAGGTGCTTCCTCACGTGGTCGTGAATGAAGGTGAGGTGCTGGTGGAAGTTATCAGCACGAGGGACAGTGGGTGTGAGATCGACACGAGTGGGGACATTGGGGTGCTGACCGTACAGTGCAAAGAACGGTGACATGCCTGTGGCGGAGTGGTGCGTGTTGTTGTATGCGAACTCGGCCATGCTCAGCTTCTTGTCCCATGCTGCTGCGTCGTGCATCGTGATGCTGCGAAGGATCTGCTCCAATGTCTGGTTCACGCGCTCAGTCTGTCCGTCTGTCTCTGGATGGTACGCAGACGACATGGCTAAGCGAGTCCCAAACAGTGCGAAAAGCTGCTTCCAGAACTTCGAGGTGAATCTAGGGTCGCGGTCTGAGATGATGGAATCTGGAACCCCGTGCAGTCGGACTACGTTATCTACGAACAACGTCGCGGCTTCCTCTGCTGTGACCTGACCGTGCGTGGGGATGAAATGCGCTGCTCGAGAAAACTTATCCACTACCACGAAGATGGCATCGTGACCCCTAACTGTGCGCGGTAATGCCATGATGAAGTCCATCGTAACTACCTGCCAAGGGCGGTCGGGCGGTGGAATCGGCTGCAAAAGTCCTGCTTTGCGCTGGCGAGAGGACTTCGTACGCTGACACGTGTCGCACGAGCGAATGTAATCCTCTACGTCTGCTGCAAGCCCTGGCCAGTAGTACGTGCGACTAAGCGTCTTAGCCGTCTTATCTGCTCCGAAGTGACCTGCACTAACTACATCGTGCGCCTCTGAAAGAAGGAGCTGTCTCAGAGGGCGGTAGGCTGGAACCCAAATCCGTGTGGTGCCCTTCCGTATGTAAACACTACCCTGCACCTCTGCTCCTGCGGGCGGCTGCGGTGTGAAGTCGGGATCTACTGTGTAACCGTGCTCGAAGAGTGCTGTGAGAAGTGGATGGCCTGCAGTGACTGTGAGGCTAGCGAGCTGGCAACTAGGGCGAGTGAGCGGATCTGCTGGGTTGCGCACGCCTGGCTTGTACTCTATCCTGTAATGAAAGCTCCCCTCCATGAACTCCATCCATCTAGCCTGGCGACGACTCAGCTGCGGTTGCGACTTGAGAAAGCGAAGCGAGCAGTGGTCCGTGCGTATAACACTGTCTGCCCCCTCTAGGTAGCACCTCCACACCTTATACGCATGGATGATCGCTAGCGCCTCCTTGTCGTGTATCGGATAGTTCAGTTCCGCTCCCCTAAGCTTACGCGACTCGTACGCGATCGGCTGCAACCCGCGTCCCTGGTCCTGAAGAAGCACTGCTCCTATGGCCTGATCGGAAGCGTCGGTCACTACAACGTACGGGCGAGTGGGATCGGGGTACGACAGTGTCGGTGAAGACGTGAGCGACTGCTTCATCTGCTCGAACGCCTGCTGCTGCGCTGGACCCCAAACGTACTCTACGCCTTTCCGAAGTAGGTCGGTGAGTGGACTAGCGATGGAAGCGTAACCCTGAACGAAACGACGGTAGTAATTTGCGAATCCGAGAAAGCTCTGCAACTCCTTGACTGAGGTCGGTGCTACCCAATCCTGTACCGCTGCGATCTTCTTCGGGTCGGTCCTAACGCCACTAGCGGATACGACGTGTCCTAGGAACTCGACCTCGGGGAGGAAGAACTCGCACTTTGACTGCTTCGCGTACAGCTTCTCCCTCCGCAAGACCTCAAAGACCCTCTGCAAGTGCTGCACGTGCTCCTCTTTCGACTTGGAAAAGATGAGTATGTCGTCTAGGTAAACGACAACGAACGAACCTAGGAACTCGGAGAGGACGGTGTTCATAAGCGTCTGGAACGTCGCTGGGGCGTTGGTCAGTCCGAACGGTAGAACCCTAAACTCGTACAACCCCTGCTTCGTACGAAACGCCGTCTTGTGCTGGTCCTCTGGAACTACACGAATCTGGTGGTAACCCGAACGAAGGTCGATCTTAGAAAAGACTCTAGCGCCCTGCACTGCATCTAGAAGATCCTCTACTCTCGGCACCGGGAATCTGTTCTTGACGGTGGCGGCGTTCAGTGCGCGGTAATCTATGCACATCCGTAACCCTCCGTCTTTCTTAGGCGCGAAAAGGATCGGTGCGGCCCAAGGCGATCTAGATGGCTGTATGAACCCCTGCGCGAGAAAGTGCCTAACCTGCTGCGTCATCTCCTCTGTCTCTGCTGGACTCAACCTCCACTGCGGCTTCGCTACTGGCCTGCTTCCCGGCTCCAACTCTATTCGATGGTCTACTGCTCGGCTGGGAGGTAACCCTGGGGGCAACTCGTCGGGGAAGACGTCTGCGAACTCTGCTAACAGTGCACTCACCTCAGCAGGAAGAGTCGCCTTCTCACTAACTGCTGCGCTCCCTCCTTTCCCCTCCTCAGCTTCCACCTCCTCAAGGAAAACCGCGAAGATCCGTGCCGCTCGCTTCACCAGCTGTCGCACACGAACAGCATTGATGATCGCTGTGGATGATGTGGCCCCATCGCTCCACTGTGGCAGCTCCCGGAACTCGCCATCTACCTTGACGCTGCAGCTTCCCTGAGCCCAATCGAACTGAGTCGAAACCGTCCGCAACCAATCTCTACCGAAGATGAAATCGTATCCGTCCAGCGTCGCAGAGTCGAAGTCACGTCTAACCGTGATCGGTCCTAGCACTACGCGCAACTTGCGAATGACTGGTCCTATGTGGAGAGGCGTCCCATCTATCATACGTGCGTCCTTGAAGTTGACTGAGGAATCTGCTTCAAGATGGAGACGGCTAACTAATGAAGACGAAACGAACGAGTGGCTAGCTCCGCTATCGACGAGAATCTTAACAGGAACTCCGCGAAGCTTCCCTAGAAGCACGACTGGACGATCAACAGTGTCTACCTCGTTCTCCGTAGATGACTGCTGCGAGGCCGTCTCCTCTACGTTGGTAGACCTGGCGGGTACGGGAACCTCCACACCAGCTAGCGACCCGCTATCTACTGGCGGTTTCCGTTTCCCTGCTGTCGCTCCTTGAACTGTGGGCAGTCCCGCTTCATGTGTCCCGGCTTTTTGCAGTAGTGACAGTTCCCCCTAAATCCGTTGCGCTGTGAGCCGTCACTGTTAACTGCACCAATCTCCATGGGCGACGGTCCGTCCCTCGATCGAGCGTCGTTGATCGGTCTGTTGTATCCCCTATCGCGATCGTCACGACCCCGTCGGCTTCGTACTGCGTCGACGCGTTCTGCTGCTGCGACTACTGACTCGAAGGTGGACAACCCGTGAATCGCAATAATCTCCGCTATGTCCGGCTTCAACCCTTCGAGGTAGCGATCGCGCATCTCTGCTTCCGTGATGTCGTCTATCTCGTTGCAGATGCTCAAGAACCGTCGTGTGTACTCCTGGACGTTTCCTATCTGTCGGAAATGACGCAGACGCTTCCTAGCAGCTTCGGAGGCGTTCACCAAATCGAACCTACTTTTCAGCGCCGCTTCAAATCCATCCCATGTCGTCGGAACCGTGGTAACACCCAAAGCTAGACTCCCTAAGCTCGAAGTTGCAGCTGCATGCCCCACGCCCTGTTGATGCCCGTCTAACTGAGCCCTCCGTACAGCAGTCTGCGTAAGTTGGCGCCACCACTCCAAGGCCGGGCCCCTCAGCAGCGTTACGGCGTACTCGATCCGCTGCTGCGCGTCCGCCTCTTGCACCCCGCTCGCGGCGAAGTAATTGTTGAGCATGAAGAGCCACGTCCGCACGTTCGCGTCGCGTTGACTTGGGTCGAACGACTCGGGCTTCTGCGGCTTGAGCGCGCTTCGACGTTCCGGCAGCGCTTCCGCGCCAGTCGACGTGGTGGGTGCAGGAGTTGGTGCGGCAAGGCCATGGGGGTTAGAAGCCAAATTGCGAAGTTGTTGCATTTCGGCTCGTACCTGACGATTTTCGAACGTCAATTCTTCGAGTTGACGCATGAGCTCGGCAAGCGTGTTGCCCATGTCGTGGGGGAAAGCGTTCATGGATTCGTCCATGTTCGCTCGACGACTCCAAGTCTGCAAGTCGGCACCGCGGGACGATGACGTCGTAGTCTCGTCGTCGACGGTCGCTCGTTGGAAGTCGCTCCCCGCGAAGGCTCTGATACCAAGTGTTAGGCCCGCTGGCCTAAATCCGCTAAAGAATTAGCGGGGTCGACTAAGTCGAGGATAAAGCGCGGCGGAAGACTTTGGCGAAAGAACTACTAGCGAAATAGGCGAAGGAGTTACTGAGTAATTGAAGAAGAGTTGAATGAGAATTGGTTGATAATGCCAAGTACAAGCAAGGTTTATAAAGCATGCAAGAAACAAGGTTGGAAAGTGGATTGTGGGACCAAGAATTGTAGTGCAAGAAAAGTAGAGTGCCACGTGGCACTAGAGAATCTGAGAAGATAAGGATAAGGGTGACTTGGAAAGTACTGTTCGGAATGAACAGTAAATCCCCCCTTAACACGGAATTTATTTCAGACAGAATATATAGATTTCTATGCAGTGTGTTCTGAAATTTGGAGGTTGAGGCAATCTTGCGGTTCACCGCACTTGTTGTTCTGGCGTATCGGGCGGTGAAAAGCACGTGTTACTGAATACAAATGCACCAATCGGGGCTCAAGAGCGATGGTAACTCCTCGTTCAACCCAGCTGAGGAATTGACTTTCGCGAAGTCCCAACCTGGTGGAACCCGTTTGCAGTCGGAAGCCTTCGCCTATCGGCTCGAGCCTGTTACGGTGAAATGATGGTTGCTTTTGGCTGGTGCGAAGGAAAGGTTGTGATTGACAGATGGCATGAAAACTTTCAGTGGGCTGAGCACAAGGAATCTCGCGGTTCTGCGCACTTGGAAGCGATCCGCAGTCTTCTTATCGGACGGTTATTATAGTCTTACTGGTTCTCGCCAGCTGTCATTCTGCCAAATTTGTAACCCTCGTCGCTGGCTTTCGCGTCACGAAAATTGGCCCTGGCGAGGACGGGTCTTCGATATTGGTTGGGAACCCGTTTGAGATAGAAACCCTAGCATCTCGAATCTTCCAGCCAATCCCGTTCCTCCGTTCACCAACGAAACCCTCGTTCTGCTTCATCCTCGTTTTGCCAACTTCCATTTCCCACCTTCCGTTTTCCCATCACCTTCTGTTCCGTTTCTTCCATCCACCTTATCCTCAACAGCTAGCGCAGAGAAGAGCAACACAGCACCATATCGGAGCAACAGTTTGAGCTCTTGACGCGGCAAGGGAAAGAACCATTTCACAGATCCTTCTTCATTCCCCCTGCATCTTGCATCTCCTCTCGTACAACACTAGTAGCGCGTCACTAGTGAGTCTGTTCTTAGAGGTGTGTATCCCCCAAATATCACTTCCAATATCGAATCCTCCGATCCGCGGTTCGACTTCGGAATTTATCTCCGTAGTACGCCCAACGATTACGGAGCGCAACCTTTTCTAATCCCCTTGTTAGTTGTCACTACCTTCGTCTGAGATTACTAGTTTTCTTCTTTTTTATTTCTTTGGTCCGTCCAGTAATCTAGACCATGGCGCAGCAGCAAGGCGTCGACGAGTTGGCCTTGATGCAACAAACGCCAGGCGGAATGGTCATGGCTCCAGCTCCTGCAATGGACCCGTACGCCTCGCATCATCAACATCATCACCATCATCTCCACCAGCAGCAGCAACAACAGCACCATCATCACCACGCGCATCCCGGATTGGTGCAGCAATCTCTCGACGAATCAACGGTCATGATTCCCGCTGAAGCCGACGCCGTCGCCGCCATGCTTGGGAATGCCGGCGGCGAGATGATGCTAACGAGCGGAGGACTAGCGGCCGCGGCTCACGGTCATCCTGGAGCGATTGTGACTACACAGGGGGTTATGGCTGCCGGTGGCATTCCGCATGGTCAAGTCATGATGACAGCGGATGGGAGAATGGTGACCGTTGACGGAAGTGTTCTGACCAATCAGGGAGTGCTTGTCGCCGCTGCGTCCGCGTTGGAGCATGCCTCGATACAAGAGCACGCCGCCGCGATGCACCACGCCTCGATGCAAGAACACGCCGCCGCGATGCACCACGCGGCTTTACAAGAGCACGCCGCTGCTGCGGCGGCGTTGCGACAACACCATTCGTTACAAGAACGGCCTCCGATGCCGCACTATGCGGGAGAGGACCAGCACGCGTCGATGCAACACATGCATCATCAGCAACACCACCTCCAACACCACCACCATGCAGCCATGGCGGAACACGAGTCCATGCAGCAGCAGCAGCAGCAGCAGCAGCACCAGCAGCAAATCCAGCAGCATCACCAACAGCAGCATCAACATCATTCAGTCCAGGAGTCTATCCAGCAGCAGCAGGAGCACCTGCAGCAACAGCAGCAGCAGCAGCAGCAGCAGCAGCAGCGGCACGAAGGGCACGCGGCCATGCCAGAGCATCAAACCGCAGCAGCCCATCACAGCGCGCATCACGGGGGCTACCACAGCGGCGATCACGCCGCACATCACGGCGGGCATAACGAGGATCTCGCCATGGTCGCAACCCACGGAGACACCATGGCCGCCGGCGGCGGCGGGCAAGGGGACCTAACCGGAGGCGAGTCGGAAGGGGAGGAGGAGACGATCATGCTTCGCGGCCGCAGCAAGAACCGGCAGGCGGTGGAGCTGATAATCAAGCAGGAGATCTGCGCGCTGAAGAACGCCCGGCCGAAGATCACGGCGGCGGGGATCTGCCAGGTGTTGCGCGCGAAATACGGTAACTCCACCGTGCGAGAGTCGCAGATCCCGCGCATCCTGCGCGACGAGCACAAGTGGGGCCGCGCGCCCGCGAACTTCAAGCGCGTGAGGCAGCCGCACAACGTGCGCCTGGAGGAGGCGCTGGCGGTGTGGGTGCGCGATATGAAGGCGCGAGGGGACTTCCGCGTGACGTGCGATCGCATTCTGGAGCATGCGAAGGACATTGGGCCGTCGCTGGGCGTTCCCGCATCCTTCAGGTTCGTGCGTTCGTGGTGCTTTTCGCAGCGTATTTTTGGAAGCTCTCAAAAAGGCGTGCGATGACATCCCGGAGCATGCGAAAGACATTGGCCCGTCGCTGGGTGTTCCCGCTTCCTTCAGGTGCGTGCGTTGCTGGTGCCTTTTGCAGCGGATTGTAAGGAGAGTCAATGTTAGCTTTGGGGTTTACTCTCCTGTTTTCTGGTGATGTTTCTGATCCGTTGCTTTCGCATCGTCCCTGTTGCTGCAACCATCAGGTACAGCCGCGGATGGATCTCTCGCTTCCTCATGCACTGGGGGCTCACACGCAAGGCAGTGGAAGCAGCGAGGGAGGCCAACTTCAACCCGCTAGACCCCTCCTCGGGCCCCTCGCACGGCAGTGGCAGGGGGAGGGGGGGAGCTTGGAGACCACTGACAGCGTCGCACACATAAAAAACAGCAGAAGCCTCCTGGAGCGTTCATGTAGTTTAATCCGCTTCTTTCTGTTCCGTTTCTTCCCCTTCTCATCCCTGTGCCTCCATGCAACCCAACAGGTACAGCCGCGGATGGATCTCTCGCTTTCTAAGGCGCTGGGGCCTCACACGCAAGGCAGTGGAAGCAGCGAGGGAGGCCAACTTCAACCCGCTAGACCCCTCCTCGGGCCCCTCGCACGGCGGTGGCAGGGGGAGGGGGGGAGCTTGGAGACCACTGACAGCACCGCACACATCACAAACTGCAGGAGCCTCCTGGAGCGTTCATGTAGTTTAATCCGTTACTTTCTGTTCCGTTTCTACCCCTTCTTGTCCCTGTGCCTTCATGCAACCTAACAGGTACAGCCGCGGGTGGATCTCTCGCTTCCTCAGGCGCTGGGGCCTCACACGCAAGGCAGTGGAAGCAGCGAGGGAGGCCAACTTCAACCCGCTAGATCCCTCCTCGGGCCCCTCGCACGGCGGCGGAGGGGGAGGCACCGACAGCGCCGCACACATCATCGACAGCAGGAGCCTGCTGGAGCTTGCAGACGAACAGCTAGATCTGGAGGAAGCCGCCCGTCGCGCATCTGAGCCGTCGGATCTGCTTGCTGAGCTGGCAGATGAGGATATTCTGGCAGCTGCGGCGAGTATCCCTGCTGTGGGGAGTAGTGTAGTGGCGGCTGTGGCTAATTCCCGGGGTGGACAGTATGCTCCCAGTGCTGGGGGGCCTGGGGGAGCTGGCGGGCAGTATACTCCTGGCGCTGGGGGGGTTGGGGTGGGGGGGGTGGGGGGTGGGGGTGAGTCCGTTGGGGAGGGACAGCTGCAGGCTGTAGCAGAAGAGGTGCTGCTGGGGCTGGATGGATCTGTAGCACGGGCGCTGGCTCCTGCTGGTGCTTCTGGCGCTGCTGGTGGCGCCTACGCGCCTGGCTCACACATGCTTGTGCCTGCTGGATCCACCTTTTCCGCTTCTCAAGGCCCATACACGTCCTCTGCCCTCGCCCAGCTCTCTTCCGCGCCTCCCCACGCGCACCATCCCCCGCCGCCGCCCCCCCAGCGGCGGCGCAACATCACAGTGAAGCTCAAGCGCGCCATCTGCGTGCTGAAGCGCGCCAAGCCGCGCCTGCGCGCGTCCGCCATCATAGAGGCCGTGCGCGCGAGCACGGGCATCTCCCTAGGCACGCACCAGGTCTCCCGGATCCTCCAGGATAGTGACCGTTGGATGCGCGCCCAGACCAACGCCAATGCGGTCAAACGCGTGCGGGACCCTGAGAACGCCGCGTTAGAGGAAACCCTAGCTGAGTGGGTGAAGGAGATGCGGGCGAAGCATGGCGAGGCAATGGTTACCAGAGACGATATGATTGACCATGCGAAGAGGATTGGTCCCGGGTTGGGGGTTCAGCCGGGGTTTAAGTACAGCCGGGGGTGGTTGTCGAGGTTTTTGTGGCGGTGGGGGTTGCAGACCAAGGAAGAGAGGGAGGCGGCGAGAAGGGAAGGGAGGGAAGGGGGTGGTGAAGGGGAGGTTGCTGGTGGAGATTCTGGGGGTGCTGGGGCTGGTGGGGGTCCGCTGGCTTTAATGCCTGCTGATGCTGATGCGGAAGGGGAGGCTGAAGCAGGTTCTGCTGGTGCTGGTGCTGGTGCTGCTCCTGGGGCGGGGGCTGCTGCTGGGGCTGGTGGAGCTTCTGGGGTAGCCGGGGCAGCTGGCGCTGCTGGTGCAGCTGGGGCAGGGAGCGACACTGGTAGCGACCTTATCATATCCTCTCACGATTTCGTCATTACGGGGACCGACAGCGACGAGGATAATTTCCTTCGTCTGGTGGAGGAGCAGCTTGCTGAGGTTGAAAAGGCAGGCGGGAAGGCAGCCAGGGCTGCAATCATGTGGGGGGAGGGTGGCGAGGGGGGCGAGGGCGGAGGAGCTGGAGAGGGCGGAGGAGCAGGAGGAGAGGGTGGGTCCACGGAAGGGGAGGATACTGGGGACGAGACGGACCTAGGGGAAGGCGGAGGGGAGAGGAGGCGGCGGTATGGCGGGGGGGTGTTCGGAGGGATGGGGAGCAGTGAGGGGGCGGGAGATGCACTGGATGTAGACGCGGATGGGATCAGGAGGCGGAGGATGGTCCAGGTGAAGGTGAAACGGGCGGTGTGTGCGCTGAAACGGGCTCGACCGGAGCTCACGAGCAGGGAGATTATCGATGCAGTGAGGGTGAAATACGGAGTGGATTTGCCCCCGTCGGCTGTGCCGCGGATTCTGAAGTATGATGAGCGGTGGCAGCAGGCTGGCGCGGCGGCGTCTTGCCGGGTAAGGTCGTGCATGAATTCTAAGCTAGAAGAGGTGCTGGCGGCCGCTGTGAGACGGGCGCTGGCCCGCGCTGCTGGTGAGGCGGGTGAGGGGGTGAAGGGGAGTGAGGGCGGCGAGGGTGGTGGTGAGGGAGGGGAGGGTGGTGGAGGAGGGGAAGGTGTGAAGGAGGGAGGGGAGGGGGCGAAGGGTGCGGGGGAAGAAGGTGGGGAGAACGGAGAGGACGGTGCTACTGGGGCTTCAGCAGCAGCAGGAGGTGAGGGGGGAGGAGGTGAAGGAGCAGGAGGAGCAGGAGGGGGGTCGGAAGGAGGAGCAGCAGGAGCATCGGCGCCGGCAGTGGCAAGGACAGTAACGGTGCAGTCGATTCTTGACCACGCCAAGCGCATAGGCCCTCTGCTAGGCGTAGCACCCGGATTCCGTTACTCCAAGGGGTGGGTCTGCCGCTTCCTGCAGCGCTGGGGCTTCGGCAGCAAGCATCTGAAGAGCGGGGTTCTAGGGGTGGTGGCCTCTGGAGGGAGTGCTGTGGGGGGGGACGGGGGCGGGGAGGAGGGGGAGGCGGGGGAGAATGGGGACGAGGAGGGGAGGGAGGAGCGGGAGGATCGGGAGTTGCAGGAGCTGTTGAGTATAGTGGATGGGCAGGCGGCTGAGCAGGCGAGGATGGAGGCGATGTATGGGTGGGGATACGGGGGAGGGGGATATGGGGGAGGTGGGTATGGGGGAGGTGGATATGGAGGGTATGGAGGCAGGGAGGCAGGCTCGGGAGGTACGCCTGGGCAGGTGCCATTTGCTGTGGGTGTGCCTGCGGCTAGGCTCGGGATTATTCGCACGCCTGAAGCTGCAGCTGCAGCTGCCGCGGCTGAGGCGGCGGCTTGGGAGTATGCTTCGGGCGGGGGTGCTGGGGGGATGAGAAAGAGAAAGAGGTTTGGGGTCGGGCCTGGTGACGTGGCGTTGCATAATAGGTCGAGGTCGCACTTCTGGGATTTGATGGTGACGGAGATGGCAGGGAAGGGAGAAGGAGGAGGGGGGCAGGGTGGAGGGCAGGGGAGAGTGTGGAATGGTGGGGAGGTGAAGGCAGAGGAGGGGGTGGTTGGGATGGAGGTGGCAGAGGGTGCTGGGAAGCTTAGAGAGGGAGATGCACTGCAGGAAGATGCACTCCCTCCTGCAAGACAGAAAGACACAGCTGCTGCTGTGGCTGACTCAGCTGCTGCTGCCAATCCAGCAGCTGCTGACACCACTGCCACTGCTGCGCCTCCTGCTCTTGCTGCTGCTGCTGCTGCTGCTGATGCTGATGCTGCTGCTTCTGCTGGTGGTGCTGTTTCTGGTCCGTCTGATGCCAGCGTCGCTGCTGGTGATAGTGCGAAAGGCGCCGAACAAGCAGGGGCGCAAGGAGGGGAGGAGCAGCAGGGTGATGCTTCTGCGGCGGCTGCTGGCGACACAGGCGCGACTCCTATGGCCGATGCTGATGCTGCTGCGTCTGCTGGGGAGAAGGGTGCAGCAGCTGCTGCTGCCCCTGCTGCTCCTGATGCTGCATCCCCTGCTGCTGCTGCCCCTGCTGCTGCCTCTGCTGGTGCTGCAAATGCCGCTGATGGTAGTGGTGAAAATAGCATTGGTGAGGGAAGAGGGGCAGTGGCAGTGGCAGGTGAGCGGGAGGAAGGGGAGAAGCAAGCAGAGGGCGGAGAGAAAAATGTGCAAGGAGAGGCAAAGGCTGGGGACAAGGGAGCACCTGCCACTGCAGAGGACGCTGCTGCTGATGGTAGCGCTGCGGCTGCTGGTGGTAGTGCTGCTGCTGCTGCTGCTGCTGGCGCTCCTGGCGCTGCTGCTGCTTCTGCGGCTGTTGCTGGTGATGATGGTCAAACTCAACCCGCCAAGGCTGCTGAAACAGCAGCGGCGGCAGCAGCAGATGCGTCACAGAAACCGACAGAGCAAACGCCTGTCCCAGGCAGTACAACAGCAGCACCAGCTGCGAGCCATTTGGTTCCCAGTGAGAAGCCTGCTGCTTGGAGAGAAGAGGGTACTCAAGCGAAAGAGCATGCGCCCTCTTCTCTCCCAGCACCTGCAGCAGCAGGAACCGCTGTAACGCCTGTAACACCCGCAACACCTGTAACACCCGTAACACCAGTAACCCCAGCTTCGGCTGTGCCACCAGCTTCGGCCGTAGCACCAGCTTCGGCTCCTGCACGAGCAGCAGCAGCAATGCATGCAGCATCAGGGGTAACCCCTGTAACCCCTGCAACACCAGGAGTAACCCCAGGATTATCCCCTGTAACACCGGGCATGAGGGCAACCGCTGCAGGGGGTCCTGAAGGTCACATGTGGCAAGCCGGTTACAACCACAGTGGTTACAATCAGGGGTACGGGCAGTACTGTTACAACTCTGGCCCGGGGTATGGCACTAGGGGAAGGAGAGGAAGGGGAGGTGGTAGGGGAAGAGGGCGGGGAGGGAGGGGGGCAGGCAGGCGCGGGGGCAGCAGCAGCGCTGGTGTGGGGGGGATTGCGGGAAGCATTGGGGCGAGTAGGATGATGGGTCTTGCTGCGTCTGCTGGGTTGATTCCCAGCTGGGCTGCTGCAGCAGTGAAAGCTGTTGAGTCTCCTTTTGCTCCTCCGGCCCCTCCTCCCCCACCTGCCCCTCCTTCCCCTCCTGCCCAACCTGCCCCTGCCCCTGACGCTGCCCCTACCCCTGCTGATGACGCTGCCTCTGCCCCTGCCCCTGCCCCTCCCCCTGCTGCTGACGCTGATGCTGCCCCTTCCCCTGCCGCTGCCGCTGACGCTGGTCCCGACGCAGTACCAGCACCAGCCCCTGAGTCTGCTCCGGCTGGTGGTACTGCAGGTGCGGCTGAAGGTGCTGCTGCTGTTGATGCTGCTTCTGTTGATGCTGCTGCTGTTGATGCTGCTGCTGTTGATGGTGCTGCTTCTGAGCCAGTGCCAGCACCAGCCCCTGAGTCTGCTCCGGCTGGTGTGACTGATGGTGCCGAGGCAGCATCAGCAGCAGCTACTGATAGTGCTGCTGTTGATGTTATGGATACAGACACAACTGCTATGGGCGGCAACTTAGATAGCGCCCCTGCTCCTGCTGGGGCGCCTGCTGATAACAGGGAGGCTGATGCTTCTGCCGCTGATGTCACTGATGCAGCGACTGCAGATCCCATGGATGTTGCTGCTGCTGCTGCTGCTGCAGCTCCTGCAAATGATGCGCCTGCTGCTTCTGATGCTTCTACACATCTTGAAGCGTCTCAGAAAATCGTTGCAGATGATGTTGTGGTTGCTCCTGTTGCGCCTGCACGTCCTACAGCTGAGGCTGAGCCTGCTGCTGTTGTTATTTGCAGCGCTGCTGATCTTTCTGGTGCAGCTGAAGCATCAGCAACCCCTATGGAAGTTGGTGCTGATGAGTCTGCAGCACCTCCTGCTAATGCTGCTGCTGAAGCTGACACTGCTCCTGCTGCTCCTGTTGATGCTCCTGCTGCTGCTGCGCCGGTTGATGCTGTTGCTGCTTCTGCTGCTCCTGTCGTTGCTACTGTTACTGCCGCTGCTGCTGAGGCTGACACTGCACCTGCCACAGAATCTCCAATCGATCCTCAGCATGTAGCTACAGATGTTACGCCTGTAGCAGCTGCTGTTACGCCTTTGGTTACAGATTTGAGAGATACCGACATGATGGACGTGGGCAGTGCGGCTGCAGATGTTGCTACAGCTGATGCTACAGGTGCTGCTACAGCTGATGCTACAGGTGCTGCTACGGTTGATGGTACAGGTGTTGTCACAGATGATGTTCTAGGTGTGGCTTCAGCTTATGCCACCGATGCTGGTACTACAGCTGACGTCATAGTTGCTGCAGCAACTGATGCTACAGCTGAGCCCATGGAGGGCGTTGTGATCAGTCAGGAAACTGCTCCGGATACTGGTGGCCCTGGACCTCATGCTCCTGTTGCTGTTGCTACCACCCAACCTGATGCTCCACATGATGCTGCTGCTGCTGCCACTCCACCTGAAGCTGCTGCTACTGCTTCTACTGCAGCTTGTGAGACCGGTGACGTGTGTGTCATCGCCCCTGCTGCCACGCACGCTCTCCCTCCGCCCCACTCCCTTCCCGGCACTGCTCCGCTCTTCTCCGCATCCCTTCCTCTGGGTGTGGGCCTCACAGCAGCTGCACCACTGCACTCGTCCTCTGAGGCCTCCGCCTTCCACCCTGCTTTGGGGCAAAGCCGAGCACTGCCTGCTGCTGCCGCTGCTGCTCCTGCTGATGCTGATGCTCCTGCGCCTGCCGCTGAAGCTCCGGCTCCTGCTGCTACTGGTGGGCCTCCTGATGCGGTTGCTGCTTCCGATGTTGCTCCCGATGCTGCTGCCCTCAACGCTGCTCCCAATGCTGCTGCCCTCAACGCTGCCCCCGATGCTGCCCCCGATGCTGCTCCGGTTGCTGCTCCCGATGCTGCTCCCGATGCTGCTCCCGATGCTGCAGCAGGTGCTGATACGGCTGCTGCTGATGATGTTGCCGGTGCCAATGGTCTTGCTGCTGATGCTGCAGCTGACCTCAAGGCTGGCTCCGTGGAACTCTCTGCTACAGCAGTTGCTTCTGTGCCTGCTGCTATGCCTGCCGCTGTGCCTGCTGATGATGCAGCAGAAGCAGCTCCGCCACCACTGCCTGCTGTTGTTTCTCATTATCCGGCTGTCGCTGACGATCCCTACACCTTGGAAAACCCTCAAAAGGTCGAAGAAGAGCCCATTAGTGCGGCTGCTCCGCCTGCTGCCGACCCTGACGAGGACCCATATGCCATGGTCTAGTTGTGTTTGGAGACGCCTCAAAGCGTGCTCCGGAGGTTCGGTGTGGCTTCCCTTCGGAGCTGGACTTGGCTTTTAAGATCCGCCACCTGTGTGCCTTTTCCTAGTTGCACTTGGAGATGCATCAATGCTTGCTTCGGAAAGTCTGTCAAGCATTGTGTGATAGGACATTCTGTTGGGTATTTGCTTGGCCTTGCCTGCTGCTCCTTGTTGCTGCTGCACTGCCTGCTGCTGCGCCATTGGCTGCTGCTGTGTCATTGGCTGCTGCTGCGTCATTAGCTCCTGCTGTTGCTGTCGCTGTTAGGATGAGTCAGGTGTCTGGTGTTTTCCTCAGTTTGCTTCTCTTTGTTGCGGCATGTTGGTATCATCTCTAACTCTTTATAGTTCTTGTTGGAAACAACAAGTCGTAAGCGCCTCTGTCGTGTCGAAACACCGCACCAGAAGCGAAGTAAATCATAACGAGACACCCGCGAGTCAACCCTCGGAGGTTGAAAGTAACTGTTGGAGGTTACGCGAAAGTCAAAGGTCAGCGACCTTTGACCTGACAAATGCAGCGCGACAGCAAGGACACACAACTGACTCGATATTGAGCAGTTGCCCGAGTCGCACTGTATCGAACCGCAACAGCAAACAGTAAAATAGTTATCAGTCGTATCTCTTCGTATTCCTTGTACTCTTATATAAATCTTTGTACTTGCTTGCTTTAATCAACTTACTTTGCCCTCACATACCAGCGCAAGGTGGTTCACAACTTCTTCATTAAACGCTTCCGCTATTACATCATCTCTACCCAGAGTTTACCCTTGCAAAAGATCCTAAGGGCTGTCTCAGCCCAACATGGTATGAGAGCTCACAAGGGAAACTCAACTACTACCAAGTCATCACAAGACATGGCAACACAAAAGGAAAGGAGCTCCTCTAACGGCTCCCAGGGCACTACTCCTACTCCACCTCCTGCCTCTGGCCTACAGACAGAGGAGGGCACGGCAACAAGACCAGCAGCACCCTCAGCAAGTCAACCTGCCAGCTTCGACCAGAGCATGATGGAGAAGTTTTTCTCCTTCATGTCGTTTTACGAGCAACACCAGCAGTCAGTACCTGCGCAATCGAACAACAGCAACAACAACAACGATGTGACTCCCATGAGTCTCGACGGCTCATCATACGCGCGCGGAAATCAACAGCAGCAGCCTACCTTTGCTCCGTACGAGCGCGGCTCCATCAGCTTCATGCCGCACCCGCAGCCTCCACCTGGACAAGAAAGACCACTGGACGCACTGCAAATACAGTCGCAGTTCGCGCACGTTTTAAAGCTGCAAACATCAAGACCTTTTGATGGAAAGGACTTCTT